TAGATTTTTGATTCAACATGTCAACCTTATATTGCTTGAGACCTCTGTGACAGACAAACAAATATTTATAGTTTTTTGATAGTTTGGATTCTTGGCTTGATTTAGCAGATCAGCTGTGAACCTTGACTTTGAAATCACATAAATGTCATGGTACCCGAACGAATCCTCGCATGACATTTCTTCGTAGCACAATTTTTCGTCCGCATTTCTTCGTCTACAAATCTTCGTCGGTGCATTTATTTGTCCCTCAATGCTTACTCTTGCATATATTTGCGTTGAAGAAGAAATGCGAGACGATTTTCATATACCCTGGTGCGAGACAAAGTAATGCGATAGGTACGAATAAATGCCCTGACGAAGATTTGCAGACGAAGAATTGCGATACGAAGAAATGCCATAAGAATTGTCCTGGAATCCTTTATTGGCCATCATATATTGACCTTGATAAGATAAACGCATCATTCGCGCAATATTTGTCGCACTTTGATACCAAACTATTGCTTCCAAATGCCGACGTAAAGAAAACCTTTATGTGACGTCATAGAAACAGCGGATTTCCCAAAAAGTAAACAAAAATAAAAGTCTTATATCTCGAAAACGGGTGAATATTTTCCGGTAAAATTTGGTAGATGTTCATTTTCGCTCTTTGTGATTCACGCTACATCACTTTTATGCCAATTCATTAACTTTTTTGAAGGTGGGAGGGTCCCTTTAAAGGAAATAGTTCACTTTTAACATGGGGTTTTGAGCTGGAATAGCAGTTTCGTAGCTTGAGCTGAGACTAGCACAAATCAGGAGCTTTTACGGCTCAACGATCACCCTAGACGAAGATATTCCATTTCTCGTTCCGAAGAGTGCCTTGTAGAGGAATGCGTGCCTTGCACAGGAATGCAGCCACGTCATCGTCAGCCAATCAGCATGCTGCTTACAGCCAATGCAGTATGCGTAGGTTTGAGCTACGCAATATGATTGGTCAATGCGTAATAAGCTTCCGCGTCAAACATTATTTTACATAGAATATAGTTCGTCCTATATTAAAATATAGAAAATAATTGTTTTTACAAAATGTTTTTATTTTATTTCATGATTATTTTGAGCATAAAAAATCATAAATCAATAGCAAAATACTGATTTCAGGAAAGTGGACTGTTTCCTTTAAAGGAAAAGGGCCACCTTCGTGAAATATGAAGTTATCGTTGTTTTTTCATTTTGACATTATTATTTTTCATTTTCTTTTTAAAACTGGTGCCAGAAGTGCACAATTCGCGAAAAAGTATTTAAAACTATTTAACATATTGGTACTATGTTGATACTCTCTACGGCACCTACTGTATGATGGCATAGTGATGACGTCACACTCAAGCCAATCAGCGTTCAGAAGACAGACTCGTCGGATTGTGTCAGATAAGCTGATTGGTTAAAGCTGAGCTGGTTGGAGCTGATTGGTAAAAAACCAAAGCCTCGCCGCGGGTGGCTGTATTGTCGGATAAGAACGCATTCCTGGGATAAGGACGCATTCCTGGCGTATTTTCTTTTAAAATTGCCGATAACTACGAATGGAGGCCGAAATCGGCCGTAAGGAGGTAGACAGATAGGTTTTCGGACACGGGCTACAAGATGGCTATCTCAGTTTCAATCCCCATGTTAAAGGTGGCCCTTTTCCTTTAACTGCATGCGACATGGGCGGGAGAAATTGTAACGAGGCGATGTCTTCTGGAAACAGGCTGCGGTAGACGAGCAGTCGCTAAAGAATGAATGCAACATATCCGGTAGTTATTCCAATTGGGTCCGGATGGCGAGCTAATGATAGAGCAATTGTTCCGACCAGCATCTTCCTCTCTCAATCAGATAATGATAAGACGTTATCATTTACAGGCAACACCAGACTTAGCACTGAAATTTCCATACCATTGCTAGTTAAACAATGGTGTAAGACGACCTTCTTCCGGCGAGACTTTGCCCCGTATAATCAGCGGCCCTTCAACCGATACTGTTCCCGTGCTGATAATTATCCAACAGTGTCAGAAGGAAAACATACCGGATCTTCGTGTGACAATACATACAGGCCCACCTGCACTTACATAACATATTTGTTCATGTCATCGGGCGGATAATCAAACGGTAGCCCAGCGAATAATCCGCATGAGATCGTGCAGAAGGTTTGCAGGTGGGGTCTTTGTTCTAACGCCCCGGCACTCAAGACGATGACGTTACACCGGAAAACAATGGTTGGGTGGCTGGATTGCCGAAGATAAACCAATCCGATGACGGAAAAAGCCACACAAGACATCTCAAGGACACCTCGGAACAGTTATTGATTCACGTAAACCGGCCATTATATCAACACTTCACGAAAAATTATACTTCTCAATGAATATTCTTACGTCCTTTGAAGGTCAAAACAGCAAAGGAACTACATAGTAAAAGGACCATCAACAAAACGGCTCACACGATAGGCACACACCTTATCCACTATTCAGCCCGGCTGTAATACGACAATTCAGAGTATGACCTATCCGACAGCACCTAGCGCCCATGTCACCAATGGACGCCAGCCGCGGCTCAGATATCGGAAATTTCCCGCACGGCGCGGTCGCCGACTGTAAGGCGTGACACCTCCCACCGTATCGTGGGCCTCATGACAGGTGTGCGCTGTGGGCCGGCCCACACCGGCTTACGAGACTGTGTGGTGTGTAACCAAACCCGGCGCCCGGCCGGCGCAGGGGCGAAGATACGGCGAAAAACCACACGAGAGCCCCGCTGTGAACCTGCTTCCGGCGCACGGCGGCGGCTCGGGAAAATCAGTGCGCGGAATGGGCCGGTAATGGCGAGCAGCGAATCCCCGGCGCCTGAGTTACGGCCGGCGCACTCATTTACATTACTAGCTGCCATAATCGGTAAGGCACCGTGTGTTGAGGTGGTCAGTGAGAAAATTCACACAGTCTGCGACGTAAAAACATTTAAACAGCTCGTTTAGTTTCACATCAATTCGGACTAGGTAGTGAACGCAGTGCGTGAAATGACAGAAGCGGATGTGAAAGCACGAAAACATGCGACACTGCTAGTGCTAGCGTATACGTTGAGGAGTGGACCGATGGTTTTGGGAACTCGGGAAGAGAGGAACCGGCGTGCCAAAGGCGCCAGATGCGCGAAATACCACAGCGACGGACGGCCATCAGTTCAGAAGGGACGGTCATTGTGTTCACAATTGGGTGCTCTGAGCAGGGCCCTGAAAATAAAGCAGTTTACCTAATGCGCCTATGGTCCTGGGCAGCACAGGGGACGGGATTATCTCCAGGGAACAGCCATTACAATGGTACGGCTGGACCCGGGCAGGATCAGATGGGACACGCCTCTCTACAGAAGGATGTCGTTTGTTATTTTGGGACATGGCAAATCTACAGGGGACGGGAGGGGGGGGGGGTCGTAATAGTGAGGGAACAACGGGACAAGGGGTGGGGTGAGTGTGGCAGGGTCTTAAACCCGTCCCAGGCAGTGGGGAGGGACGCCATGGGGCGGGGCGGGGGACGGAGGGTGAATACGAGGGCGCCTGGACCGACCTTCTGAGCTTTGACGGCGTCTGCCAGCGGGTGCAGCTCGTGGCCCTTATGACCACCGTCAGCCCGGCAATCGGCGCAGGCCAGCTCGTCGCAGGCGGCGCAGAAGAGCTCGTACTCGGCGGCGGGGTGTCGCCAGCAGCGCAGCGGGTCGGCGGCCGGCGGCGGCGGCGGCGGCCCGGGCGCCGGCGCCGGCAGCAGGCTGTGCTCGGCCAGCGGCCCGCGGCGCGGGTGACACCGGCGCTGACACTCGGAGCAGTAGTGAACGCGGCACTGCTGGCAGAGTACCGCCGCCGGCCGCGGCTCGCCCTCGCACAGCTGGCAGCTGACGGGCGCCGAGGCGCGGCCGAACAGCGGCAGCAGGCGCTCCAGCAGCAGGCACGGCCGGAGCGCGTCCAGCGGAGAGGGCCGGCCGCAGGTGACACAGCTCACCCAGCCGGGCTCCGGGCCGCCGGCGCTGCTGCCGCGGCTGCCGCACACCACGCCGCTGTCAGCCTCGCTGTACACCGACTCCTTGTCCAGCTCGTCGTCCGAGGGCCGCGCCAGAGAGCGCGCGCAGCCCAGACACACGGGGTGCGAGCAGGCCAGCAGCACGGGCCGCACCAGCTGCCGCAGACACACGGGACACTGCAGCTCCGGCTCCATACCGTCTGCAGGAGGCGGCCTCCGCGCGGCGCCCTCCCCCGCTCACGAGGGATCAGTCACGTCCATCCACCACAGTCTCGGCTGATCTCCACGCGTGGCCAATGTCACGTGGCTCCTCTCACACGTCTTTTTCCCACCGTCGGGAGTCCCGGCCTAAGATCACGTGCACCGCGCCGGCTCTCCCCCGTCCCCCGCGTCACAACTGGCGGGGAGCGTGCGGGCCGCGCCGCGCCGCACCGGCCGCCGCCACCCGCCCGCGGGCACATACCTGAGGCAAGCCGCCGGCGCCGCCAGAGCCATCTGGCGGCGAGGATAGGAACTTGTGTTTGAAGCCACGGCAGCCGACTAGTGCTGGCGCTGATCAGGAAGGGAGGGATGCTGAAACGAAAAGGATGACAGTCACTTCAGGATTAGATGACGAGCGAGGAGCGATCGGATATAACGAGGCTTTAAATTACGCACCGAACCATGAAAAACCGTAAGTTTCTATCGCGAATATGAATCGTGGTAGCATGGCCAATATTACACATTTTGTCTTCGTGCAGTCAGGTTGGATACAGCAATCCTATTAAATCAGCTGCAGAGAGCGGTACCTAGGGGCAAGCAGTTCACAGCTGAGAAGGGATTCGGCGGAAAATTGGAGCACATGTTGGGCGTGCAATCAAAGGTAACAAGCAGAGTAAGGCACGGCGCAAAAGCATTACGAAGTGGAGCTCTCCCATTTAGAGGAATCGTACACACAAATTTGATGTCCTACCATAGGTAATCATGGAGGAACAGTACCAACAAAACAGGCAGTATGTTGTGAAAATGGTTCTCTGTATTGTAATATGTACATTCCCAGCGAGGCATGCCGCTCTCAAATGCTTCATCTTTGTACTCGGGCAGTGGACTCAGATGTAGGTACGCAGTATCGCACGTAGCGCAGAAACAACTACCCAGATGCGGTAACGAAGGCGCTACCCCTCGCTGTTACTATTACTATACATGATGATAACAAAGCGGATGAAGATTCTCTAAAGCCGGCCACGGAGGGAGCCGCCACGGTGAAATATGAACATAGTCTCGCACTATGGTTCAGCTAGCCTCCCAGTTCATGCACTCTGCCTCAGTGCATTCATTGTATGTGCCACCTTAGGGCTCAGGCACCAAGCCTGCTTGGCTTCCTCAATACATAATATTCTATCGCAACTTCATCCTCTAAAGCCAGTTCACACCATCTCATATCTAAAAACGCAACTCAGAGTGGTCCCGACCACAAAATTGTGACGAATCGATTTAGAACACCCGGAACTTAAGCCAGCCTAACATGTCACGTCCGGCCGCTGCAGTGCCAATTTTTCGTCCCCAGAAAACCCCACTCGAGCCCAGACATCGACGCAGACTGAGCTCCTCTCTGATAACCGCGCCAACAGCACCACACCACACTCTCCGTGCCCCCCCCTCCCCCCCCCCCCCGGCGGGCGCCGGTCCGCTCAGAGGTCCTGGCGGGACCTCTGCCGGGCGGCGGCCGCCGGCCGTTTCTTCCGCCCGGCGGCGGCCGAGGCCTTTCTGGGAGGTGTGGAGCGGGTCCGCCCGGCCGTCGACGAGCCGCCGCCGCCGCTGCCGCTGCTGCTGCTGCTGCGCGACTCCTGACTCTTCCGCCTGTGCAGAACGGAGCGAATGGTGAGGGACAAACGTCAAAAACAAACCGCCATTATTTACATAAATTAGATGAGTCACAGAGCCAGTAGTTTTCATCAGATCACTGATGCAACGAATTGAAAAAGTTCGAGCAACTAGCCGTTGTTCAAGCTGTTATCTCAGACATGAATATAGAAAGATAATGAAGTATATTTCCATCATAAGAAACTCTTCACACGGAGCAGCGCATTATAAAAAACATTGTCAGGCCCATCCTGCCCTATAATAAAACCCAGCGGCGCCGGCGGTCTCTCTCTCCCTCCTCTGCGACCCCGGGACCCGGTTCCGACCTGGGCGAGCCCTGACTGGGGGCGCTGTAGCCGTCCAGCGCCTCGTGGTGACGTTTTCTGGAGAGCAGCGTCAGCTCCATCGTGTCCATGGCCTGGTCCGGCGGGCCAGGCTCAAATATCTCCACGTTGTACGTGTTGGCCTGGGCGGGCAGGTGAAAGACAGTGTCATGTCACAGAGTTGTACCACCTAATAGAAATCGCAGCAAAAAAGGCAGAATATCAATAAACACAATATGGTCTCACTCACGCATCACAAGTAGAAGAGCGACCCGATCCCACCCCGGCCCCCCGTCTTACCAGCATCAGTGACGACAGAAGATAGCGAGCCACCTCGGGCGCCTCCTCGCCCTTCACAATATCGGCAAACGCCACGGTCGTCTTGGCCGATCCCTCGGGAAACCTCTCCAGAATTCTCGAGCCGTAGTCGTGGATATTGAACTCACTGCGCTTCTCCTCGCGCTCGAGCCGCGGCAGCACCGTCTCCTGCCAGCGGGCCACGCGCCGCGACAGCTCTGTGGACTGGACATACTCCTGCGCCGCGCTGAGGTACTCGGCCACTCGGCGCTGCACCAGCTCCTCGTAGCTGTCGGGCGGCGCGGAGGGGGGCGCCGCCGCGCTCGGCAGGTCGGCAGGGTGGTCCGCCGGGTCCGGCATGTCCGGGAAGTCGGCCATGTCACCGGCGCCGCCGTCTGACGCGGCGTCATCGGCCGCGGCCGCCGCCTCCGCCGCCGCCGCCAGCTCGTCCTCTTCGCCTGAGGGGCGGGGAGAGGGACGGTGAGAATCATTGGTTAGAATGACGTGGGAGGAACAATGAACATTGAACACATCCATTACTTGGGAAATACTTGAGCTGTGACTGCTAATACAAATCAAATGCAACTCATCTAATACAAATATCATACAATCGCACACAAAATGTCTAATAGTTACAAAATATGCGGATCCTGTATCACAAGGATCATTTTCCGTTTAGTCACGACTGACCCCTCACTCACGTTTCTGCTGTTTGATGTCAGCCAGCGCCTGTTTCCTGTTCTGCATTTCCGCCAGCACCTCGGCGGGCATTTTGGATATGACGTGCCGCAGTTGACTACGGGTCAGCCGGCCAGAATGGGTCAGCAGCTCCGTCTTCAGGTAGTCGACCACGGGCGGCGGCGGCGGCTTCTCGCCGGAGCCGTACACTGAGTCGGCAGACGCCGTCGTCACTGACGCCGCCGCAGCCGCTGCCGTCTCGGCCAGCTTCCGCTTCCGCTGCGGGTGGCGGGGAGATGGGCGGTTAGGGCACAGGAGGAACGGGATGGATGGAACGTTTGGTGGTGTAATAAGGAATGACATCGGTGGATAAAAGCACACCCACCACTTGCCTTAAATTGCAGACCAGAGACACTGATATTCCATGGAAATCATGCCCACCCATTTAGTCCTCCATTTAACCCTGTCAGCTGTAAGCACCCACTTTCAGTCTCTTTAACTTGCATACTTCGAATAAAATAACCAGAAAATCCAGCATCCTGGCGGTTTCCAAATTCCAGAGCAGCACTCTCCCCCGGCTCATACCTTGGAGACGGTCTCCTTCTGACACAGACAGGGCGGCCGCAGGGTGATCCGTCCGCGCCGGATCGGCGGCCGCTTCCTGCCGGTCTCGCCGTACGGGTTGACCGGCCTCCAGCGCTGCTCGGGCTCGGAGCCCGGCGCCAGGCACGGCGTCGCCTCCCGCCGCCGCCGCGCGCTCTGGCGCAGACCGGTCCTGAGGGAGAAGGGGAAGGGAAGGTAGGGTGTTATATGGGCGGCACCGACGTAAGCAGTAGTTTGTGCATGAAATCAAAGTAGCATTGATTAAGTGTCTTGAGAGCTTCACTAGTTTTACAAGTATCGGCTTTGTTGACAGAAATTATGAGCAGCTTGTCCGAAGTCACTACAAGAGCACCTCTAAATCTCAACTCAAAGATAAATTTCAACGATACAGCCAGACCACACCCATACATTTCAACATGCCCACGCTGACAGCCCAGCCCCAACATACCTCCGTTCTGGTGAGGCGCGCGGCGGCGATGGCGGCGGTGACGGCGGCGGTGGCGGCTCCGGAGAGGCCGGCGGCGGCGGCGACGGCGGCGGCGGCGGCTCGCACGCGTCATCCGGGTCGTCCGCGGCGGCGGCAGCGGTGGTCGACAGAGCTGCCGACACGTCTGGGGGGAGGTAGGAGGGCGGAAACGGTCATGTGAATAAACTAAACAGAACATTAGGTGCGGCTGAGCTCTTTGGCCGATTTATGGATATGAACATCAAAAGAGAGAGAACAGGAATGACAACAATAAATCACGAAACACCATTTCTTTTAATCGTGCAAGTTAACGACAGCAGGACCGTGACTGACCGGGTGATTTGGTCGGTGAGAAGGACGTCTTGACGTGATGTCTCAGCAGTGACTCGACGTCCATCTCAGTACAGAGCAGACCCGTCGCCGTCGACATGGTGCTGTTCAGTCTGAGACGAGGCGACGAACGGAGACGGTCAGTTGACGAGTATCAGCCGACAGCTCACACAATGGGATACGTTGATTCAATGCATCAGATTCATCAGCAGGCCCATTGTTTCACGTGGTCAATTATGCCACCGCTAGTCAGCGCGGCTCCAAGAGGCAGCATTGATGATGATGTGGGGGTGTACGGCGCCCGGGCTGCGGTGGTCATAGGCGCCCATAAAAGGCAGCATTCAACTAACAGCTCATGTATCAGACAAGAACAGGGAAGCATTTGATAATTCTGCAGCAACCCCTCTCCCCTCACAAACCTTGTTACCATTCATCAGTATCCACTTCCACTTCCACTCCAATACTCACAAGATCACAATGCAACCCCCCCCCATCCACTCCACCGCCGCGGCCGCCGCGTCCCATCCCACCTGTAGTCGTCCTTATTTCCGAGCAGGTCCCCGGCCAGTGAGAACAGCGGCACTGCCTTCTTCGTCTTGTCCTTGTCCACCAGACAGACGGGCGTCACGGGCAGGAACTTGAGCGACACCTTGTCCTCCGACTCTTCCTTCATCTGCTTCTTGCCTGGAGAGATGGAGTGAGAGGAGCTTAGCACGGACGTAGTCTGGGTGCATAAACTATTTATGCAGAATACACAGTACAAAATAACCGTTAACTTGTACAACGAACAATGACTGATGATTCCGGTCAATCAGGCATGAGGTGGGAACAAAGGCATTATGCGTTAGTGACAAAGAAGAACCCTCCAATATTATTGACAACTTACTAAAATTAGGATTAGGCTATAATAGTCAACATCTTACACTAACAATAAAAGACCGTCGAACAATGCGTCAGCATATAAAAGCACACCCAGCTGCGGACTCCCACGGTGTGGGTCGCCCAGCCGAGCACTTCTCCCCACACCACCCCGTCACTCACACATTGGCATGTCATCCACGGGAAGGAAGCCAATGGTCTCATTTGGGTCACCGCCCTTCTTGCCCTTACTGCCCTGCTGCGCCGCCACCCTGCAGTGAAGGAGCGAGATCGTGGGTTAGATGAATTCACGGACGGGTGGGTTCGCACGGCCGCTGTGGGTCTACATATAGCTGAGGTCACACCCCAGAGTAACTAGCATTCAGTGAAAAGATTAGCTAGTTGCATATAGCTTATGCGACACAAATTGCGAGCGTGAAGCTAATTTACAAGAGCTTGTAACAAACTTTGCTTTTACGACGAAAACATGGTACCTATTCTTTTTTGCTTTTAAACGCATTTAAAGGTATGAATTCAGCTTGATTCTCAAACTCCAAACTATAAACACGTAAAAGACATCCTATCCCTAATTACTGCAGGATACGTTTTCTCTGCACAATACCCGGTGACTAATTTGGCACGTAAATGCGGTCAACGGCACGCTGCTAACACTGCCCGCGGAACTTACTTTTTGTTAGCCAGGAGGTCGACCATCTGCAGCACCATCTTCCAGAGGAACTCCACCTTGCGGCTGTAGACGCACGCCGAGCCCTGAATCAGCATGGCCGCCTCGGCAAAGTTCATCACCGTTTCGCCGCCGTCGAAGGTGATGGGCATGCTCGCCAGTTCGTCCAGATACTCGCCCAGAAACTGGCGGCGAGCGGGGCGAAATGTCAGCGCCATTGGAATGTTAGGCCTGTGATGACAGTCGGAAACGGTGCTGGTAGAGGATGGAAAGATGGTTACCTAGCGGAATTCGAGACGACGCTACCAACGAAATGGGGGCGTTGTTTTACCCAAATAATATATACCCAAACAATGCAATGTCGTGATTTCTTCGATGATCTCATGCATATAGGCTTATATAAAAAACACACACACACAAAGGTTCGTCTCATACATACCTTATTTAGGTCAACCTGCCAGTTTTTGGTCAGGTCCTTGATTGGGTTCAGCAAAAACCCAAACCGGGTTTCGTCCGGCGGTGGCGCCATCTTGAAAAATTATAATCTGAAATGATAAACAAAAGATATCAGCGTCACAATGCAGCGGTAGGTATACTGGAACTAGAGTTATTCGGTCGTTTGGGAGATCGTATGTCCCATGTCTATTTAGCCAAAACTTATCATGTGCCTGCAGATTTATATCCTTGATATGTGGTTAAATGAAACAATGATGGCCCCATTGTAACGATATGTAAATGGACAGTAAACAAAGACATTTAGTTTAGTTCAAATGAGGTGATGGACTTGATGGAAGGATGGATTGACAAAACAATATCCCGTGATGGCCCGAGCCTGCTAGGTAGGCAGGCCCAGACCTTTACCGTCGTCCATCCGACCGGGAAATCTCAAGTTGTATACAATTAGGAAACTGTAGGCTAGCCAACCAACACAGGTGGGCACAGTTCATCTCGCTCAGTGAGTTCAAATGACTGCGGCTCCTCCTTTCGACCACGGACAATACTCATAAGTCTTTTGCATCCTACGCCCGTGGACCATAGACATTCACCACCGGAAATCGGACAAACTGCCAACTGAACTGCAGAACTGATCAATTATTCCAATGAAATGTGACCGTAGTTAACGGTATAAAACGTATGTAGGTAGGTATCATACAACTCAGCGTACTTTCAGGAATAAGTGATCACGGTAATAAGGGTTCGTTGGCTGCATCCGATAACGTCGGGTATCGATGTCCTACAGGTAAACAGGCGAACACTTCTGACTTTCAGCACTGTGCAGCACCGAGCTGAACCGTCCGCCCCTGTGACAGGCCCAACCTATCTGTCGGCGACACCCACCCACGCCCACCGGCGCTCCGGGAGACCCGTGTCGGACATGACACCGGGTCCGCCTCACGTCAATCACGATTTAAAAGTGGGAGGGGTGAGTCAGCCAACACTGTCCACATTTCATATTGACCTTTACTAGAGCTTTTGCAGTTTCGGCTGTTGTTTGTAGCAAATACTAAATGTCTGTACTGAAGTTACTTGTCAGTGCAGACTATTTTGCTTGTTGACACTGTAACACTGGGTGCCACCAGACATTTTCATGCTTTAATTTTGTGTTGCTGATCTTTAACCATTACTCCAGCACTCAATATGCAAAATAAAGGGTACCTAATGGCGCAGCATTGCAGCCATGGCAATGGTGGATGTTAAAAAACAGGGGACCTGGGATGATTTGATCAAGGCTCCTGAAATTTGCTCGCACAAATCACGTGACAATTGGCCTGTAGAAGGCACCTTATGGGGGAAGAATTTGACATACTTACAAGACTAAATATGCCCTCCCGCGCCCTGTTTCCAGCATCCACTGCAGCCAACATCATTTTACAAAGATCAGGGCCAAAACTAAACTAGTGATGATGTCAATCAGATACCATTTACCAACCTTTGTCCTTTAGGTATACCTACCAGCTACCAATCCCAAACGTATGGGTACTACCAACTTGGCATTTGGTATTTCAACCCTGATGCATTTTGTATTTTGTCGGTATTAGAAAATAGAAAGCATCACTTGTATATACAGTATCAGATGCTCAAAATTTGGTAAAAAGTTGGCATTTCGATCAGTTTTAGAGTCTAGTTTGGTTTTTGATATTTTCCAATCATTTCTGCTGGTATTTAGTTTGGAATCGGTTTCCATTTTTTGTATTTGCCATCACTAGGCCACCAGAACCAGGATGTGCAGTGGCGCGGCCCCACAGGCTAGATCTTAAAGGAAATAGTTCACATTTTAACATGGGTTTTGAACTGGAATAGCAGTTCCGTAGCTTGGGCTGAGACGAGCATAAATCAGGAGCTTTTACAGCCCAACGATCACCCTAGGCAAAGATATTCTATTTCTCGTCCCGAAAAATGTGTCTTGCGTTGAGGATGTGTGCCTTGCATATATTCGCATCCAGTATGAAACGAGCATGGGTCCCGAAAATTCTTCAGAAACTAGAGAAATTATCTACGAGAACTCTAGAGAAATTCGCTCCAGTGAGGCGCTCCAGTAACAAAAGCACGAGCAGATCGCCCAAATGCCGGTGGCCGCGATAATTTCTCTAGTTCTGAAGAATTTTCGGGACCCATGCTCTTTTCATACTGGATCGCGGTGCCTTACAGAAACTGAAAAGTTCTTCCTATATCAAAAATATAGAAAATAATCTTTTGCTGTAAAAAGGTTTTATTTTCTTTGCTGATCATTTTGAACATAAAAAATCACAAATCCATTGCAAAAAAAATAATTTCGTGAAAGTGAACTATTTCCTTTAACATTGATGATGAGACATTTCACAGGAATAATGTGAAACAAGACATGATTCTTAGATTCTTATAATTGAAAAAAACAATTTTCATCATTATCAGTTTTGAATTTTAAAATATTGAATTTGAAAAGTAAAACAATACAAAGAAATCCCAAATCCTAATCACTGTCAAAAATCAAAATTATGATTCGTACCTGCACCAGTACTTGTCTCAGTCTCTGCACACCTTTCACTGGCTTTGAGCTTCTAGAAATGATGGAAAATGTTCAATGAGCTTTCATTGTCTTTACGCAAAAATGGGGAGTAGGAACGTCCCTATTAATTATATAAAATCGAGGAAACAACACACAAAAAATGAAGCGACAAATTTGTTTTGCCTAAAAGTTGACAATTGTGGCGCATGAATTCCCTCCACTTTTGATTTATGAAGTTATTTTGCTACCAAATTTACTCTGTTTCGCTACTGAGAAAGAAGTGGTTTGCTGCTATGGTAATATATTAAAATTCATCTATATATTCTGATCCTTAAAAATTCCATAGATCATATCATCAATGAATATTCATATTCCACAATCATCTAATAGCAAAATCGGCAAAAAGGCTTTAAAGGAAAAAGTAAAAGTTAGGAAGGGGAAAAAATCACATATAGGCATTTTCTGCGCAACTAAGACCAAATTGTTGCATACACTTGTTCGTGATCATAAGGCCACTAAAAAAAAAAGGCGTGTGATAAGAGGCATGGCTAGGAGTGTTTTGAAGAACATTTATTTTTTTCTTGTGGCATATTTCTGTCGATATTTTGCGTTATTCATGTTTCTCGAAAATACTTGCTTCATGTGGTAATTGTACGCAAGGTTAATGTTTGCAACAGAGTCATGGCTGCAACACCGCTAGAAACGTCCTGTGTTGGATAATGTTTTGCTTTTCTTTCTAGTTCGCTGTGAAAAATGCTGGGAAAATGTTGATCTCGGGTGACTTATTACAGATAGTCGAACACTATTTAGTGCCCCCTGATGCAGGCCTTGATGGTATTCTTGCCTAATGCCGGTCACGGGGGGCCTTGCCTAATGCGTAGCAATGCTATGATTGCCCATGTGCAGATGAATGTGGGATCAGGGAGCATAACCTTGACCTGCTTCAAAAGAAACGTCCGTTAACATGTGTTCTGATAAAAATGTTTTATTTTATTTTCAGTGCCAACTGCCAGCCCACTGGGTTCTACTCTAGCAGTACTTAAGATGAACAACGTCTAGTGGGCACAATAGCATTTCCACATGAGAAATTCCTGCTAAAGAAAGGAGGCTGGTTAAAGGCTAGAGCATTAATGGAGGCTTCAACAGAAGAACCAGGTCCAGATTCAGATTTAGCAGCTAATAAACAAGGACATGACAAATCTACTGAGGGTGTTGCTGATCAAAAGCTTTGTGTCACAAGTTCTGCTTCAACAGAAGCTGTGAATCCCTCACCAATTCACACTGCCCCAGCACCAGACACAATGCCAGCTGGTGAGTCAGCTGCCCCAACCTCTGACCCAAGTCCAACCAATCATAAAGACCAGGAGGGGGACTCAAAGGCAGCACCCTCTGCTGAGTTGGCTAACTGCAGCCTGGACGATGAGCCGATCGTCTACAGCAACTATGAGAGCGAGCTGCAGATGCCAGAGATCATGAGGCTCATCCAGAAGGACCTGTCAGAGCCCTACTCCATCTACACATACCGCTACTTCATCAACAACTGGCCCAACCTCTGCTTCCTGGTAAGACAAACTTATACGCATGAAAACCTTGCTCACCAGTCTTGAATTGTGCTTTATCACATCATTGCCATCACTTGTAAACGTATTCTAGTCAAATATTATAGGCGGCGAGCCTCACATCGTCGTTCACGAAGGTTCTTGTCCAACTCTCGCTCGTCCTATCCCCACCAGCCGGTCACCCTCCTGCTTCCGTCGCCAGGCGCGTCACGCGGGCCGTATTGTAGGCGCCATCGTCTGCAAGCTCGACTCGCATGACTCGCACACCAAGCGGGCGGTGACCAGTCGCGGCTACATCGCCATGCTGGCCGTCGACCAGCAGTTCAGGAAGAGACGCATTGGTGAGTGGCGCGTGGTGTGGATACCGCTGGTTTAAGCCTGAAACAGACTCTTTCCGCAGTCAGGAAATCGCATCCGAGAGCCTATTCAAATACATGGAAGCACGCTCGCATCAATCGCACGCACCTCCCGCAAGCGATTGATGCGAGAAGAATTACAATGTATTTGAATAGGCTCTCGCATGCGATTTCCTGAACGCGCAGAGTCTGTTTCAGCCTTTAGATGGGGGTGGGGGGAGCTGGGAGGGGCATGTGTTAGGTTAGAACGGGCTGGTTGGGTTTGACTTCTCTGATCCTCGGTGGGTAAATAAGGATGAGGAAGTGTTTCATGTGGCGAGTCTTGAGCTTTTGTTCCATCTGCCAACGATTTTTTTTTTTGTCGATGATTAAGGCGTATTTTATCGTGTTCGTCTTCTCCATGAGGGTTTATTTTTTATAGTTCTGCGATGATTTCGCCCTTTTGCGACCATATAAACCTATTGTCACCGGTGTACCGCCTTACGACTCGCCGTCTCCCCAGGCTCCTGTCTGGTACTGAACGCCATCCGGGCCATGGCCGCCGATGCCGCAGATGAGGTCAGTCTGGTGCACGTGTTGGCGTATTACTTCACTTGCACATGAAACATGCATTTCCCGTCGTATGATGATTGCTGTCAGCTTTGTCAACAGGGCCTCGGCTAAGGAATTTTGAATGGTGGGCCACTTGGGCAGCGACATGGACTGACCTTCGTAGCCATAGCCCCCCCCCCCCCAATTTTCGATTTCTCCCCAGATTTCGGCCACTTTATTCTGCAAAAAACGTCAGGATGGCATTCAAAAAATGTAATAAAAAAAACAGGGCTCGACCCCCCCCCCCCCCGACTCTTTAGAGAGAGGAGAGAGTAGGGACCCACAACCCTCTCAGTGGTGATACTCCGGCGGGATGCACATAAAATCGCACAAGTATGCACAAGATATTGACGCAGATTATAAAACTTTGGACGGTAACTTACGGCCGATCGGATGTTAAAATCAGCGAGCTCTGAGTGGATCGCTCGCCGACTAGTCGAAAAGTCGAAGAGTCGGAGAATCGAAAGCGGTCGGACGGGATCGGGCGTTGTCGAGTGGATCGGGAGGAATTGTGAACAGCACGAGTGCAACTTTATACCTATATAAAGTGGGTTGTAGCAGGAACCCCAAAAGGGAGTTGTAGCAGCAACCCCAACATCTCTGAAAATGATCATTAGGCCTATTGGTGTCGCATGGAAAATAATTTACTCAATTAGCCCAAGCGCACTGCGCAACCCTAATATTTTCTATAAAAAAGTTATGTACACTTCTAGTGAACAGTGTCCCAAGCTTCAGATTTCCCTTGGGTGTCTGAGTGGAAAATTCTAGCAACCCAAAATGTGAGAGTGGAAAATTATCCATTCTTATTCTTGAGTGTCATCTTCAGCCCAAATGAGAAATTTTTGGAACGCTGACTGTGAACGGTTCGAAATTCGTCCGACTGGTCAGATGTGTGACTGCAAGCATCATACCGGTCGTGAAGACGTATATTATCGCTTGCAGAGTTCAATCGGCTGGAAGTCGCCGACACTACCTCTAGTTTGACTCTGGCTTGTATCGTGTCTTTCGGCGAGCCGTCTGAGATCGCTCGCAGGCTTATCCCCGACCGTCTGAACTGGTCTGTTCTTTATTCGTAGTTTTTCTTGTAACCGACTGGTCTGCGGCAGATGCTTATGTGACTGCAACCACTCGTTGGTCCAATCCGGTGAAGTGTGACTGAGGCTTAACCTACGCTACGGCTGTCTCAAGAAACCGGGAATGGTGATGGTATTAGGCGGGCAACGACGATCATTCTTTTTTAAGTTGCGGGTACTATAGTCCACTTTTTACCTTAAGGATATTGCAAACAATAGGTTGAAGTTTTTTCACAAGAATATGTTTCACCGATGTGTATTTTATAGCCTGAAAATGTACGATAAGATCTGCTAATTCAATTTGAAATGTGTAAAATGTGAAAACTTAGATTTTTCGGAAAATTACTGGTGGGCCAAATCTTTGAGGCTGGTGGGCCATTTCGGGTCACTGGTGGGCCATTTGGCCCACCAGTTAACATGTTAGCCGAGGCCCTGTTTGTCAATTAGGCCGGTATATGCCGTCGATTTTGCTAACATTTATGGACCTATATCGGGATGCTGGTAACGTAGATTTCACACTTCCACCTCTCGCTTTTCTTTCGATATTGTCTTCAACAAAGTATCATGATCGTTATTTTTCTATCGATCTCGATCGGTCCATTTCTGTCCCCTGTCGTGGCACCGACCGACCGTCTCTCGCCCCAGGTGGTGCTGGAGACGGAGGTGACCAACAAGGGCGCGCTGCGACTGTACGAGAACCTGGGCTTTGTGCGCGACAAGCGTCTGTTTCGCTACTACCTGAACGGTGTGGACGCGCTGCGGCTCAAACTGTGGCTGTGGCCGCCCTAGCCGGGCCGCGCCGGCCCTCCTGCCGCCAGGAGCGGCCGCTGAAGGGATGTCGAGTGGTTGGGAGGGGTTGGGTGGTAGCCATCACTGCACATAGACTCAGGACTTTGAGAAGCAGTGCTGAATGGTGACATACGGCTAACAATGAAATACTTCGGCATTGCTGTGAAGAAGGTGTTGAGAAACATCGTTCATTGGCTCGCCTGGGACCGAACCGCACGCTGCGGAGCGGGCTAGTGTAATGAATTGACAATACTAAAGTCACATAATGTCTGCCTATCTGACTGCCGACCAGTGAGGACATATCGTCGATGTGGCGGCATTGCTGGACTGAACTGTGAAGTCACCGCCACTCGTTGATGGTTTCGGATTCTGCCACTCGCTGCGCCTGCCATGTTAAACATTATTTGTTGAGTGGTCATGCCAAACCATACTAATAGTCACTGAGTCATGGTTGCATCGTGGTTAATGTCAGGAGAGTTTTGGCCGGGTAGATGACTACTGATGGTCCTCAGTATTCACGGGATGTCGGTTACGGTAGCGCCATATTTGGCAGCATCAAGAGCTTCAAGTCAAATTATGTGTGCGTGGTAGTGAATCGTGGTTCAGTCTATTCTGGTGTGAATTTAGCATGGCTACTGTTTGATGCGCATGTCTGATGTCTGAGTTTGTGGGTTGATAGACTGGGCGGGCATGCAATTGTACGACAGAGATAAGTTATACCGTTCACACCTCATCAAGTTGTCATAACTGCGAATAAAAGAACAGGAGCGTGTTACCCCGCACTTTGCGACTTTCTGCCTATCTGTCTCTGTTGGGGGATGGGGGGCTGTCAGTCGCCATGGGCTACCGTTATGAAGTCTACTTGGCTGGTGCTGAGGTGAGCCGTGCATATTTTCTCGTGACATATGCGAAGGAAGGAGACTTCTGTGGGTGGACCTGCCAGACCCAAAGGCACTCTGCAGTGTGAAATTTATCGGCCTAGCCATCTAGTTTCTGTAGGCAGACATCCATAGTTCAAAGAACTGCGCGAAGATCGAAAAGACACCGTGCAGCGCCTTGCCCGCAGTCCCCCTCCCCTCCCCCTGAGCCTACCCCACCCTTCAAGGCCGGCTCTGACGTCACGGCTCAGGTGGGCGGATCGATGGACGGTCGCCGCTTTCGCAGCGCCCTCTATTCCGAGTGTAGAGACGTGGGCGATTGTGTTGTGTGTTCACAGCTGATCGGAGAGCCAGGTCGAGAGCGTGGGGCCCCTGCGATCACGCCACTTTTCTGCCACGAGGGTGCTTTCACTTTCGGGGAGCCGAGATCAGCTGGGTCAGCAGCTGCTGGTGATTGACGTTGGACTTCTGTGAGACGTCTTCTGGAATTTGGCACTTGAAACAATGGACCAGGAAAGCAAGGTAAGTTGAAGTTATTTGTATTACTATTGGACTCAATGATCATTGTTGTTGTTGCCACGATGAAATTGTTTCAGTTTGATGTTCCTGTGACTACATACTTGTGACTATAATGTTTCTATTTCTGTAATTGAGTGAAAGGATGCTGCAAGGCTATAAATGAATGAGATTGAGATGGATAAGTGAAATGAGTGAATTTTTAATAGCCAGAATCATGCATGAATTTTTCCATGGTGCAACTTCACAATTCAACTTGTGAAACCAGCTAGAATATTTTTGACTAAAATGATTGTTTTCCATTGAAGTGCCCGTCTCCCTAATTATATGATGTCATGAATGCTTATGTGCCTAATGGCAAACTCTACAGTTTTCCCCGTTTTGACTGCCCTGTGACATTTTATAGCTGCTCTCAATGCAACCAGGTCATGATTCGTGGGGTGCTCAGTGTCCAGACCTGCTGGTTCAGAGTTCAGACGTCGCACCGCAGAACAGCGGTGCAGCCACGGTCTAGGCTCACGGTTCTTAGAGCCGGTCCAGCAGGCGACTCTGCGGCTCAGTCCGGCCGGCAGGACTGGGCGTGGTCAGGAAACGGCTCCTGACCGGTCGCCGCGGTTACCGCCGGCCCTGGACTCGAGGTCGGCGAGTGGCTACCGCCCCCCCCCATACCCTCCCTCTCTCCCACGCCAGCGCCTGACGTGTTTCCCGTTATCCTCTGCCACTTGATCGCAGTGGTCACATTCTCAGTAATGTGTCACCGTTGACTACTGACGATTTCGGTTATGACGTTTCAAAACCCTCTCATGACAGCGTTACCACAGGTTGAGGCCGTGGCGTCAACCTGTGCTTTGTGTCGACACAATATCTAGAAATCGTTCTACATTTCCTCTCACTACTCGGCCGGGTTCCAGGCGGAAAGACGCCTCAAGTCAGTACGCATTCCATTTTCTGCTGGACCATTCGCCGTAGCTCCGTGCAGCCTTGCAGAGCTGGGGACCCGCAGTCGCACTATCGCGAGAGGGCGTAACCGGACCCTAACGGTACTTCTCCCCCTCTCCCCCCAGCCGGGGAGGGGCGTGTTTTGATCGATGGAGACACACAGAATGCCGACAGGAAATGTGACCGAACCCTAAACCAACAAATACTCTGTCGGGAGATGGTTTCTCGGGTCCAGAGTTCGCCACTTCACCAGTCGCCGGTCCTACCGAGGAAGCCCATGCTGGTCCTCGAGGATCAAATTGTGCAATGATGATGATTGTTGTTTGTCGGAAAATTGCATTGACTGGATATTTTAGAACTTGATCTGTGGTGACGGTAAAGTTGGCTCGACACGTCGATATCCGTTAGTTTGGTCGGGTTTAATTTTGCTGAGTTTCTGGCCTGCCTGTTTCCACTGTTCATGTCAAATCCCCCCCCCCTCACCCCCATCACACATCCCTCGTCCGTTGTCCGGGCAGTGCTGAGATATTCCACCGTAACTGACTTACCTCCCCCGTGTCTGTCCTGCAGCCCGCCCAGAACGGCTGCGTGAACGGCGCCGGCGAGGGCTCGGACATCTTCCCCCGCTCGCTGCTCAAGCAGCTGGACTGGGCCGACTACGCGGACAAGTTCAACCCCGCGATCACCGCGGAGCAGCCTGGGGATGGTCTCCTGGTTCGGCCACTACAGAAGGAGGATTACGATAAAGGTGGGTCTGGGGGTCTGGTTTCAGGGTCTGGAGGTCCGATTTCAGGGTCTGGTCTGGAGGTCAGGGGTGAGGTCTGGTTAGGTTGCTGTGTGGCAATTGGCATGTTGTTGAATGTCTCATCTCTCACGCGAATAAGCCGCTGGTTAACTCGTATATGAATGTTATATAAGTCGCAGGCATCAGTAACTCACCATCACTGCCACTAGAGAAACTCAACACGGTAGACCAGCCGAGGTAGATTTGGAGACGATCCAAGACAGCCGGTGGCTCGGCGACGCTCAGCGAGGTATCTCTAAGTAATCCTGGTACAGCTCTGACAGTGACGGGTCCAATGACCATTGACCAGTCCCAGCGGTGTAACTTTCTATATGTATGGGGGTGCAGGTGCACCCCCATCCCCTGAAAGTGCACCCCCATCACGTCAAAGTGCACCCCCATAGGCTAAGCGGCGCCCCACACGCCGCCCGACACCGATAAGCTCTTGAGCAGATGGCGAGGGTGATTTCCCGGCTACATTCCGTCTCGTGACCGGCGTCGTGATGCTTGCGGGCTTGGGAAGCGTCCAGTCGTATCGTCCCCCAAAAATGGGTGAAAGGGGCACCCCGGCAAAAGCGGGACTTTCTCAGCAAAAGTGGAGCGCCCGAGGCAGAAGTGGGGCACCTCCAACGTAGGTTGGGATCGTCAAGCAGAAGACTGGCGCCCCAGCGGAGGAGAGGCGCCCCCAGTAGGAATGAGGCACCTCAAGCATGGGTTCGCCCAGTAGAAGAGCGTCCTCAGTAGAACACGGGCGACTCCAGCAGAAAGGGGCGCCTCACCAGAAGAGGGGTGCCCTAGCAGAAGAAGGACACCCCAGCAGAAAGGGGGCGCCCCACCAGAAGAGGGATGCCTCCAGCAGAAAAAGAGCCCCCTCACCACAAGAAGGGCTCCCCAGCAGAAAGGGGGCGCCCCACCAGAAGAGGGATGCTTCTGCAGAAGAAGAGAGGCACTCCAATATAAATGGGGCACCTCAAGCAAAAGTTGGGCTCGTCCAGCAGTAGTGGGGCGCCCCCAGAAGAAGAGGAGAGCTCCCAGCAGAAAGGGGCGCCACACCAGAAAGAGGCGCCCTACCGGGAGAGGGATGCCTAAAAAAGAGAGGCGCCCCAATACAAAAGGGGCACCTGGAGCAAAAGTTGGGCTCGTCCAGCAGCAGTGGGGCCGGGGGCGCCCCCAGCAGAGGTGGTGGGGCGCCTTTAGCAAAAATAGGGCATACCCGGCAAGGGAAATGTCAGACTCCAGCAGAAAAGTGAAACCCCTGCAGAGGAGGAGCGCCCATCAGAAGTAAGTCTCGCCGAGCAGAATGAGGGGTGACCTCAGCAGGAGAGAGGGAGAGGCGACCCCAGCAGTAGAAGGGCACCCAATGAAAAAAGGTGATTCCAGCAAAAGTGGGTCTCGCCAGTCGCCGAGCATAAAAAGGGCACCCCAATTCTATAAGAGGTTGGAATATAAAGTAAAATGCAATTCGTTATAAATTCAATTGATTGATTGATATTCGTGCAAACGAATTTAATGTTATTTCATAATACCCAACTTTGTACCATTGGACTCATATGCATCTATAGGCGTCGCCAGAGATTTTCGGTTGGGGGGGGGGGGACAAAATCCAATTTGGTCTTTAACCCGGCACCGCCTGGGCTATTTCCGTACCCACGACAGCCTGGGGGGTCGGACCCGACCCCCCCCCCTGTTATCTCGAGAACCAATGGTCGTATCGAGCCCCGCGAGGCGGCGTTCGAAAGGTCTCTACGAGACCTTCCCAAAGCACTCTTAAGATTTTAAGATTGAGGTCAACTTTCAGGTCAAGATCAGGTCAAAGGTCAAATTCTGGGGTTTTGCATGATTAGGCTTATGGACAGCGGAATCGATAGCTGCTGCTCGAAACTCACCAAAAATGACCTCAAAGACCTAGTGAAGGTACCATGTACGTATAGGGGTCATACTAAGTACGGGTCAAGGTCAGGTCAGGTCACGAAAGGTCACGGTCTTCACTTTCTGCTACATGGGCGTGCGACACATGGTTTATGGCTTATTTTTCACGCCGAATCCGTTGGTAATGGTTATATGTGACCCCGAGTCACTGTGCTGGTGGTAAGTGTGCATTGAAAGCATAAAAAATCGTTTATACTATACATAACTAAACAAGGGCTAAGAAAAAGTCAATTTTTCAACTTTTTATTTTTGACATAAAAATGCACTTTTCTAGACGAGCTTTGTCCCAGGAATCTAGTGGTGCCATTTGTTTTCACATGCGATGTTCAGAAGTGCCTCTAATTCACGAAAATGCTTTTGACGTCACCATGCCCTATGCATGTTGGAGCTATTTTTTACAATTTGGGGGTCAAAAATCAAGATAGAAAGTTGAAATTTGGGACATCTAATGTTCTAATAGAGCTCTATAACATATATTCCGGTTTTTTGAAAGTTCTCAAAATTTTGGATTTTATTAGCTGTTTTCCAAAAAATATAGTTTTTTGAATTTTTAGGGGTGAAAAACGCATTTTATGGGACATCAGAGCTAGCCATTTTAAAGAACTCGTTCAGCTGCGTCTATTCATGTCCCTAATTTGCAATTTGCTTTAAACCTTGAATTTTGGCGATTTTTTAAACATTTCCCACTTTTTGACTGAAAAAGCCATGTAGTTACATCACTAAAATCGATATATCTCAAAAAGTTTTGAAAAAAAAACATTCTTAAAAATTATACAGGGGACGTCAAATTGATGGGGGAGAAGGTATGTCAAGTTTCAAGTTCATAGCGTAAGCGGTTCATGAGTTATTCGAGAAAAACTGAGGGGGGGGGGGTCGGATCCGACCCCCCCCCCAGGCGGTCGCGGGTTAATCATGCCCTTCTATAGTCATTACTTACACGTTTTATATGTCATTCGACGCGCCATGGCGCGAGGAATGCAATGGTGATACAGTTTTTCCTCTAGCTATGAAATGTAGAAAGTATTTTTTTTAGGATTTCCTGGGCAAAATCAGTTACGTCAGTTAAAAACGCATTACCCATTACGTTAGTTTAGCAGAGTAGAGCCTATTAAAGGGACACTCCCACCTTAACATTAGTTTTGAGTTGAGATAGCCAAATTGGTGGCCATGGCCTGCAAATACCGGTTTGGGCACTCACAACATCGAAAAATGCTTTAATTCGAAGATATGGAATTTCAAACTTGCAGTTTTCGGATTCTAAGGGGCTAATGCATTGGAATGCCCCCTTAGAATTTGTGACGTCAGCGGAGATCTAACGATTTTTAAATCTTAGACTAAAACCATCGTTAACACGTGGTGGTATACGCTGCTTTGCGCGCAACGTCTGCCGCACTTAAAGGCTGCCAAATTATTGCTTCCAAATAAAGTCGCTAGTAACAGGGGAGATCCCAAAAAGTAAACAAAAGTAAAAGCCTAATATCTTGAAAACCAGTGAATATTTTTCGGTGAAATTTGGTAGATATTCGTTTTCGCTCTTTCTGAACCAAGGGACATCACTTTCATGCCAATTCATTAACTTTTTTGAAGGTGGGAGGGTCCCTTTAATGGGAAGGATACAATGGGTCTGTAGGGCCCCTCCCCCTCCCTCCCCGGACGAGCCCGTGCAGATGATCCCAAACCTTATCCAGAAAAAAGAGTTGCAAATGATCCAGGAAATCGGTTCGCCCTTCTAAAAATCCATATTCTAGCATGCTCAGTTTCCGTGATGGATTTATCGGTGCCTTCGACTCGAATCCGACCCCGGCTTCCAAAACCGACTTCGACTCCGGTCAGAGCTGTCGACTCCGACCGACTCCGACCCCGACCTCGCAGCCCTGCTCAGAGGCACACGTAGCCCCTCTATGATAAGGCCCGTGTAGGTCTTCATAGGCCTGTCGTAAGGATGGTCGTCAAAGTCGAAAGGGCCCTCAGAGACTACCATGGGTCCGCCCCTTGCACACCGATGGACCCTCAGAAGCCAATATGGGGCTGTTGAGACCGGCGGAGGCCCTTAAAAGGACTGCCAAAGTGGCTCTCAAAGATTTGCACCCGAGCCTTCAGAATCAGCGTTGGAAGATCGTAGTGGTGTTCATAAGTGCCGGCCTGAGGGCCCTCAGAGGTCAGTTTGGGTCCCTCGGAAGCTAGCGTGAGATCCATTCTTAGAGTTCAGTGGGACTTTTTAGGAGCCTACGCACGGCCCTCGTTAGCCCTTTGGCACTTTAACGGCACTTGAACATGTCACAGACCTTTGGCCAGAGTCGGAAAAGACCCCAACCCAACCCCGAATTTTTCGAGCTAGGTCTTGACACAAATTTCGTGTCAGCGTGCTAGACTGGTGAAACCCGAGTGTAAAATTCAGCTAACACCAGCTAAGACATGGATTGAATCGAAGTTTTGATATGTTCGATTCTGGAGTCGAAGTCCTGAATGTTTTGGCGACTCTCATTCCGACTCTGGCTGGGACTCGCGACTCCAACTGATTTTGACTTCACAGCCATTCTTCAAAACTACCCCCACTTCTTGCCGACCCCAAAATCTCATCGGATCTGCATCGATCTCAGGGGGTGCCCGGTTGAAGGTTGGGGGGGGGGGGCAAGCTGCCCCGCTTGCCCCCCCCCCCCCGTGGCGACGCTAGTGGTCTTGACACTAAAATTTCGTGTCAGCGTAGGTACTAGACGGACCCGGTCTCTGCGCGTGGACGGAGCGCTGCTCCCGAGAGGAGGTAAGGGGGCCGCTCCCAGCTTCACAACAGTGTTGAAAACCGAGTGTATAATTCAGCTAACACCAGCCAAGACATGGATTGAATCAAAGTTATGATACGTTCGAGCCTGGAGTCGAAGTCCTGAAAATGTTGGCGACTCTCACTCCGACTCTGGTTGGGACTCTCGACTCCAACCGATTCTGACTTTACAGCCATTCATGAAAACTACCCCCATTTTTGCCGACCCCAAAATCTCATCGGATCTGCATCGATCTCAGGGGGAGCCCGGTCGGGGGTTGGGGGGGGGGCAAGCTGCCCCGCTTGTCCCCCGTGGCGACGCTAATGTATAATGTATGCACCATCTATGCACCTTGGAAGCGCCCCTATCCTCATTGAAGGTCGCCCCCATCACCAAGTGCACCCCCATCTCAAAAGCAAAAGTTACACCCTTGACCAGTCCACCCCCTCGGTGGGGCCGGCGCGGGGGCGGCTGCTGAGCAGGAGCCACTGGCCACCGTACCAGGAAGTCGACCGGCTCACCTGAGCTCCTCTCCCCTCCCTGCCTCTCTCCGGCTCACCTGAGTCCCTCTCCCCTCCCTCCCCGCCTCTCTCCCTCCCAGACCGGCCCGGCGCTGTCCGACGACTGACGACCTTGGGAAGAGCGGGTCCATCTCGGCCCATCTCTCTCCGCCGTCGGCCGGTCCGCTCTGCTCTCCCCCCCCCTCCCAGTCTACCCACCCCTCCCCATGGCACCCGGCCGGCCGGTCCGCTCTGCCGTCTCCCCACTCTTCCCCAGCCCCATTCCTCCCCACCCCGCCCCATGACACCGGGCAGCCCCGTCTCCGCTGCCGGCGTCAGCAGACCAGATGCAGGGGAGGGTATCTGGGTTAGACCTGCCCCGTGGCGGGTGGGCTGATCACCGTTTCATCATGCGTAGCTGGCGAGACATGAGCCTCGAACACGCACAACGCAGACATGGTTGACTTTCACCACCAAAGGGTGATATGATCTGAGAGAAAATGAGTGTCTCGCCTTCTCTTGCGTCTGCATTTGTTAATAAATTAACGTTCATATTTAAATTTTAAAATAATTTTCTTGTCTCATAGTCGTGCTAACAACTGGCTGTTCGTTGCTGTTTAGCCCCGCTACGAAGCCCTTTTGCTTTATTGTTGCCATTGAGGCCTTGAGAGAACAGACCAGTTCGATTACCGGCATCTCAGTGTCATTTTGTGATCATAAATTGCGACACACGATGTCGAAAATGTCCAGGTAATGCTAGCACCAATAGTAATGATCAGCTTTAGAACGCAACAGACGTGTAATTTTCGTCTTGTCATTGGGTACCTAACATTCAACCATCCATAACACAATCACCTGTACGTCCTTCGCCCCTCCCGTCTCCTGCCTTTCTCAAACCACTGTGAATAACCTCTCCCGTCTCCATGCCCCCCAGGATGAGCGCTACCTTCGTGGACCGGTTTTATCGACCCTGATAGGCTTGTCAGTCAGTTCCGCCCGCGCCTATCGCGTCCTCCGCTTCTACTCCGCTGCTATCAGTTCTAATTGCAGGATTAGCGCTATCGACTGCGATAGAAGCCTAAGAGGGAACCGTGAGCGTCAAACTCTGCGTAGTGATTGGCGTATCAGTGGTTTAGACTTAGAGTGCTGCTTCTGATGGTAGATAGCTGATAGGAGTCGGTAATAGGAAATATTGTCGATGGCTGTTTCAGGTAGATGATTAGGCCCCAGAAAATCACTTGAGGACGGGAATGTTGATAGGATGCCATGCTATATAGGAGGGATTACAGCTCAAAGTTGTAGCTATCTTGTATTGCGTGGTTCCTGGCGTGTCGTGCTACCCAACACTACAGTACCGGCAGTCCAAGTAAGGTTGTTTAGAAAATTGATTCAAAGAAAGACAGCCGAATGACCAAACGCCCTTCCAACGCTCGGTTGCTGTGTATTGCCAAAAATATCAAATCATTCAAACGCCGGCATATTCTATGAACGTGATTACGAGATCACGAGCTCGTAAAATCACAGGCGTTCGTAATACGACAAACTGTGCTTCCGGGGCCGACCACGACCCGGCGCTGGAACCGGCTCCCGGCTCGGCTGCAGGCCGTCTTGTTAGGACGGTGGAGGGCCCACCGCACTCTAGCGGTCCACCTTGGACACAGCAGCTCCTTTTGGGGTGCCGTGACGTCTGTAGCGCGTGCCCCGTGCGCGGGCCGGCAGTTGGATGGGATGTGTGATAGTCCAAACCGGGCTGTGATGGACCGTGTCGGCAGGCGGCGTCTGGCATAATGAGAGCCTTGGAAGCTCTGTAGGGCTTTGACCGGTCGGTACGGTTAGGGGTGGAGTGGGGATGCTGTTTCTGCTTTTATGTGGAGCCATCATGTGCTTGAACCCGCCAGCCCTTTTTATCAAAGCAGCCATTCCGATCCTTCTTCACGTCACATTACGTTATAGTACTGCACAGCTTTACCGCCCCGTCTTTAATCGGCAGCCAGGTCAGCCCGTCTGTTGTTCCATTCACCGGAACTTTGTGCGTGAGCACGATGTGCGATATGCTGGCTTGTTTGTGTGTAGGTATACGGTTATGCCTGTCATGCGCCAATGTGTCTGACATTTGGGTGTATCTATGTGCCGTCAGGTTTTCTGCAGCTGCTCGGCCAGCTGACGGAGGTCGGGGACATCTCCCGGGAGGACTTCCTCAGTGAGTAGTTATGCTCAGTATCTAACTTATACTCTTCTCTACGCCGTTATAACTCCGCCAGCATTGTACGGTATTAACAGTGCCTTTACACTTAGGGGAAACCGTTGGGACATTTCTCGCCATACCATCGCATTTGCATTGTTCCGTCTTCGTGTATGTGCCGTTTTGTCTTCATCTTGTTGCCAGGTGTCGAGATATTTACGCATCACTGACGGTGGTAACATTACCCATTGCGTTAAACAGAAATGAGGACAGAAATTTCTGTCCTCATTTCTGTTTAACACAGTGATCAAGGTATTTTCATACCGAAATTACCCATTATCATATCTACTCGAGATCCACTCTAAGCCTCCCGCCGTCATGACTGGCCTAAACCGTATCCAAGCTTCTCTTAGCGACCACCTGTCCCTTTTCTGACGCTCATGATCACGCCTCGTCCCCGCAGAGCGCTACGAGGCCATGACGGCGTGTCCAAGCACCTACTACCCCGTTGTAGTGGAGGACGAGGTCAAAGGTCAGGTGGTGGGCGCCGCCACCCTCGTCATCGAACAGAAGTTCATCCACCACTGCGCCGTGGTGAGTGTGACCCGGGGTCAGCCTTTCTGATAGTCTCCAGCCAGAGTAAAGTTTTCCTGGTTTCCAGAGCTTTTCCGTTAAGGATGAAATGATATAAGAATCGCTAAATTATTTGCCTGCATGAGCCTGTGCCTACTGTAGTCGTCGATGAGTTTTGTCCATGTGTCGTGTTTACGGGCACTGAGATGAAACCAAGCCGTAGTGTCGGGGGGCAGATCACGTCTGTACAGTGTTCTACGACGACACCCAGTCGTTTTGATGGGTTCTGTCAACAGTTTTTGTTAGTCTCCAGCCAGAGTAAAGTTTTCCTGGTTTCCAGAGCTTTTCCGTTAAGGATGAAATGATATAAGAATCGCTAAATTATTTGCCTGCATGAGCCTGTGCCTACTGTAGTCGTCGATGAGTTTTGTCCATGTGTCCATGTGTTTACGGGCACTGAGATGAAACCAAGCCGTAGTGTCGGGGCATCACGTCTGTACAGTGTTCTACGACGACACCCAGTCGTTTTGATGGGTTCTGTCAACAGTTTTTGTTAGTCTCCAGCCAGAGTAAAGTTTTCCTGGTTTCCAGAGCTTTTCCGTTAAGGATGAAATGATATAAGAATCGCTAAATTATTTGCCTGCATGAGCCTGTGCCTACTGTAGTCGTCGATGAGTTTTGTCCATGTGTCCATGTGTTTACGGGCACTGAGATGAAACCAAGCCGTAGTGTCGGGGCATCACGTCTGTACAGTGTTCTACGACGACACCCAGTCGTTTTGATGGGTTCTGTCAACAGTTTTTGTGTCGCTATGACCACTTATGATGTGTGTTTATAGCCTGGGAAACGAGCGTTTTGTCTGGCGCGAGTGGGGTGTTGAGTGTCAAGGATTTTTTCAATGAACTTCGTTTAATTACACCGGTTGGTTTATGCTCTTTCTGATGAAAAGTTACCTTTTTCTCTAGCCTTTTGCCGCTTAAAAACTGTCACGCCATCGTTTCTTTTTTCTGCTTAGAATGTCCCTACGGTCCCTCAGAATTTATGTGGTGCTGTGTGTTCGCTGTGACCTCGGGGTGGCGTGGTATTCTGAGAATGGCTGGCGGTAACGTGATAGGGTGACAGTCAGAGGCGTCTCATATGACCTCCGACACTTTGAGGCGACTCGGGGGCACTGTGGAACGACTGACGGCACTGGCAGACCCCAAGTACTTTGGTACCGACAACTGTTTTGGAGCGACTCTGTTGACCCCAGACTGATCCGTTTAGATCAACCGACCCAATAATGAGTCAGTGACCTCTTCAGAGAGGCATCGTGGATCCATCCGAATTCAATCCGACTTGATGCTCTGTAACGCTGGCTAGGTCAAAGGTCCACCTAACGAACTCCGTCGACTGACCCACCGCTTTCCGTCACGATGACCTCTGGTACTTTCACGACTGACCCGAGTCTCCGTGAGTGGTACTGACCGGTGTCCGGTGCTCTCCGTTACAGAGAGGCCGCTTGGAGGATGTGGTGGTCAGCGACGACTACCGCGGCAAACAGCTGGGAAAACTGTGAGTTAGAGACGGGACATTCCGGCCTTCCTCCCGCCTGTCATAATTGCGCAGAAATACACTCACTAGTGAGTCAGGATCGTATCACCCTTCTCTAGTCAAAGTCTATTAAGGTTAAACCATGTTAAACCACTTCAATGACCCTTATTTTGCTTTACTGTGCGGGGTTTGTTTGTTTGTTTTGTTGGGTTAGGCCCTTTCGGTCTGACAACACCATTTCAGAGTCGGAAGGATGATGGGAATTAGGGGGAGACATTTGTCTGAGCAGATACCCTAGAGAGTCGCCGGGGCTGAGCCCGTCCGAATGGACAGGCCGACCAGGCCCCCCCCCCCCCCCAAGCACTCTCTGCACCCGGCTACGGGGTGCGCTCCCTCGGGAGCAGCGTGCCGCTCCAACGCTCCAAGGGAGCAGCCCGCATGAGATAGGGGTGTCTGTCCAGCCTGGAGAAGGGTTTGCGGCTTGGAGGAAGAGGATTTGAACATTCTGAGGATGAAAACGACGGAACGGGTGCCCTTCTCCTTTGGGAGGTGTCGGGTTTTGTCACCCTGGTGTGCCACGTCCTGACCCCTGTCCGCTCTCCCCAGGCTGATCGCCGTCATCACCCTGCTGGCCAAGCGGCTGCACTGCTACAAAATCACGCTGGACTGCAAGGACGTCATGATTCCCTTCTACTCCAAGATGGGATACACCAACGAGGCCGGACGCGCAAACTACATGACCATCCGCTATGACTGACATCTAGTGGCAGCTCTAGGAAACGGTAGTTAATGTCTACGCCATGCCGCGCTCCGGTCAAGGCGGGGCGAAGTGGATTGCTGACTCGTGTTTCGCCCAGATTTTGCCAGTTTGCATCGATTTTTAAGAAAATGTGGTGGTTAGTTTCCATTCCCAGATCCGGACACCGACGCAGCCCGCTCAACCTTCGCTCACCGAACCCAGTGACCAATGCTACTCGAATTATAAAAATGACGTCACTGGTGTGCGTGATGACGTCACTGTTCTCGCACGGTTTCGTCATCTGAGTGTAGCTGGGGTTGTCGGACACAGACTGAGCATGGAACTCGCCATCCTCGGCTCCCCAGTGAAGACTCAGGGTGGAGGTAGCGGCAGCAAGGTCCGAGCATGGTGGTGGTGTGAATGCGTCGAACGATTCTATTTTTATACGCGTTTATCGATATTTTACAAATCGTGGCAATGTCGGGGATCTTCAGATGGTGTTGCAATCAAGGCCGTTGCAATATGAATTGTTCGTTTGAGATGCAAATATTTTAGCATGAACTATTTGATGCCAGTGATAATTATCGAACACGGGTGGATGCGATCATGATTGTGATTATAAACGTCGCCCGAATCGTCCGCGAACAATTTATCGAACATGTCATCTTTTATCATGCAATTGTCACCACTTTCACACGATCGATGCCTCTTATTTTCCTCTCTAGATCATCGGTGGTGACGATGAGGAATTGTGGCTCCAGTCCTCAGCTCGGGGAGTCTGTATCAGTGACGCTGCATTTTCGGCAGCTCCGTTGCACGGCGATTGCTCCCGAAACTGTCTGGCAATGTTGACCAGTGCTGCGTTTTGTTCAGTTGCAAATGGATTGCAATATATTTTGTACAAACCTGTTGGGTTGCAGACAGTTTTTGAAGGTTGTTTCGCCCACGGACCCTTTGATATTACCCCGTGATTGAATGGCAGCGTTGCCATTGGTGCCGATTGCGTCTCTGAAGACAAGGCGTTGTCTCGTGACGTTTTATTTGCACCAATTGCACCAAATGGCATAGCCAAGTCAGACAAACGACCAACTCGCGTTACAAAAGCGAGAGCAAACAACATTACACCTAGTTACCGCGCCCATGTGAAAGGCTTCCATTGGTCCCAGGGTCCAAATATGTGCACCAACCACCGATCGGTAGCCGGTAGCCGCCTAAATACCACACATACATCTACTTGAGCTACGTGAAACAGCCTCGTCCGCTTCAAATAAAATATATGACGATCACAACAGACAATAGATATACGTGCACGATCCGCCACGACGGCGGTATACATTGAACAACGGCTGTCGAGTATAGGGTATCATGTGACCGTGTGGTCAGCCCAGAGTGGTACTATGGGTTCATCGCGGGCCGTATTATCGTCAGAGTGAAAAACAACAAGCATGCTATCAGCTGGGCATCGACACAAGCTGCCACTGCATGCTGGTCAAGAGACTATTGAAAAGTGATCCAATACTATAGATCCAAAATTACAAATGAACGGTGTCACAAAACTGACTAGGCCAAACCACTCGATTGTATCGATAAACTTCAAGCACCTCTGACTTCTGAGGCAGGACTGCAATACTTAGACGGGAACAAAACGTCCCAAAAATGGAAGACGACGAAGTCGGAATACCCGCACCCGTACGTCTACCGCCTTGTCTGGCAGGCTCTCTCCCGTCCCGCGTGTCTGCTGTGACCAGGGCTGCGGAGTCAGAGTCGGTCGGAGTCGCTGTTCTGACAGTCTGACCGGAGACGATGATTTCTGAAAGCCGGATTCGGAGTCGAATTCGGAATCAGCGAAAATCCAGACTCCACAGCCCTGGCTGTGACTACTCCTTATTACCCTCCTCGGCCTCCTCATGGGACTGTCCTAGATGTCCCCCATTTAACTCGCCGTCTCTACTTTGGTCTGAAGTGATTCTGCCGCCGTTTCTCGACACATCGCCTTCTGTTCAGCCAGACTGTGCATCAAGTCACCGCTCAGCCCGACTTGGGTTTGAGGCCGTCGCGGACGTCGGCCGGGATGTGCTGGACGTACCAGTCGTGCTCCACGCCGGGCGCCGTGGCCAGTACGCCCGTGGCGTTCATGTGCTGCACGTCGGCCCCATAGCGCAGCTGGACGCCGTGGATGTCGGTCAGTCGGCCGCCGAGCGCGGTGAGGATCGCCTCCGGTGCACACGTGTCCCACTTCTTGCAGCCAGGCGAGGCGAACACGTAGGCGTGCGCGCGTCCCTCGAGCAGCAGCATCACCTTGTGTCCGGCGCCGCCGACGGCCAGCACCTGGTCGGGCTGCAGGGCCTGCAGGGCGCTCTGTACCAGGCCCGTGCTGTGGCTGCGGGTGGTGGTAACGATACGGGAGTCGGCCGGCGGCGCGCGCGGCTCGAAGCCGGCCACGCCGCCGCCGCGCAGACCGAATATGGTGCGCCCCTGCGGCTCCGACGGGTGCTGGTAGTTGAAATACGGCTGGTTGATGACGCCCGCCGCGGGCTCACCGCCGGCAGCGATACCGATCAGCACCGTCACGTGGTCCAGCAGGCCTGCGAGGGACGGGGTCACGTGGATGAAATCACTCACTACCCCTAATGTGTCCTGACTTAGCAGAATGTTGATGCTTTACAATAATGCCGAGAATTAGCAAGGTGCCCTTCAAGACTCAAGAAAACAAACAGCTATGGCCTGACGTGCCTGCTAATGGTTGCCCGACTTGCAGCTCGGTCACCGTGACGAGCAGTTCACCAATATCTACGGTACCAGACCGTGAAGGGCCAGTGAGGCCAGTTGGGAAACAACCCTTGTAACAAGGGAGGTTTCTCGAACAGTTGACACCCCCTCGAACAGTTCAGACAAAATACCGCGCTTGACTCGACAGTCATCTTCAAAGAACCCGCTTGTCCAAACACTGTTACATAGTAGTCTGAAAGCTTGGACGGTTTTTCAGTCTGGCATAGAGGTCTAAGTTTGCCTGAGCTTATAAGCTTGCGTGCTTCTACTCAAGCAAATGGAAGTCAACGAGCAAATAAGGCGCGGAGACGGCTGACACTATGACAAAGTCATTTGGTTCCATGTAAATAAAACAGGGAGGAAAGTGAAAAACGTTTGTAGTTCAAAGAAGTCGGTTTAACTTACCCTGAGTGAACTCCTTAGTTCCATCCAGCGGATCCACCCACACAACAATCTGAAACGAGCAAACATGCCACAAGAATGAGAATGAACCGTAGACACCCATAATTCATAAAAACACAAAATTCAAATGGTTCACGCAATAGCAAACAAGAAAAAACATCGCAGCGACCGGGGACAACCCATCAATCTCTGAATGCATGTAAATGCTGGATTGCATGCTGGATTTCCATCAGCGGTACTTCAGTGATACGGCAGTAATTCATATTTTCCGACAATGTGAGCCACCTCTGAACTGCAATGTTGGCCAAATGGCATTGTGCTTCCTCATAAGCCAGTCTTTCAGTCCCGATATGAGTCGCATTAAGCTCACCAACGCCCACATCCCCTCCCCATCAGTCACGCATGAACCCTCCGCCACCCACCTGGTCCTCCGTGATGCCGGTCAGGCCCTCGGGACACTGGAGCGTCTCCGCGCGCGGGTCAGCGCCGGACTCGACGATCCAGTCGTCGGGCACCGGTCGGTCGTCCGGCTCCTCCTCTCCGATGATGGTGAGCCGGGGAAACTGGCGCGCCAGGTTGGCCACGATACAGCGCTGCGCCGACCGGTCCGCCTCCGTCTGCAGGTCGTTAATGCCCTGAAGCAGCGAGAGAGGGTCAGTGAGGGTGCGCAATACGAATGGGACATAGCACCGACACCAAGCGCCACTTAGAAGGCATGTACCCTCAGGCTTAGAGATGAAAATCATATGCACTACTCAGTTCTCATCTTGAAGCGGAAAATGTATTTTCTCTTTTTTCTCTTTCTTATGGCGAGCATACACTAAATTTAGGGTAGCGCATTTTACTTACTACTCAGTACGACGCGGGCAAGTTTACACTTATCGGCTGGTCGCTGGATGTAGCGGTTCACATACGATTGACTAAATTGACTGACGCCGTGGTAGGGCCTATCGAACATGCACGTCGCGCGTACCGTTTTCTGTACGATGCCCAGATCTCCGGCTCGGAGGATGCCTCTGATGATCTCGGCAGCCCGGTCGGCAATCCGTACAGAGGCGCCCATCACCCGCTGGACGGCCGGCACAGACGTCATCTCCGAACTGCCGAGGAGGGTAGGGATATGTCAGTTGTAGGTAAGAGCTACGGAACAGACGTCATCTCCGAACTGTCGAGAAAGGGGGATGTCACTTGTCAGGTATGCGTAAGTAAGGCCTTGGGTAAGGCCACCATGAAACAGACACTTGCTCCGACCTGCCAAGGGGACAGCACAGCTCCCAGAAATAAGGTTCGTAATATATGGCGTTATGGATGGCGTTACAAGGATAGCAAGTAAGCGAAAATTTACCGATAGAACTAATAGTAACAGCCGTTAGCATTGTTCTGTAAGTGCAGTTATAATTTATCTGGGTGCTGTATTAATATGAGAGTGACATGACTTTCATGAAGGTACAAGTCTCGCGGGTTTTAGCGGTAGATTTTGCACCTAGAAAATTTAGTGTACTTCAGGCTATATCTTCGTCGTCGCTATATCTTTAAGTGTTGAAGATGCGATCGACTTGTTGGGTAACAAGCCGGCCATGATCGTGTAAAATGGCTTCATCGTAGATCGATTAGTTTCAGAGATATAATCGGAAATGTAGAAGTGCAAAACCTACCGCGACCCGTACGCGCCAGTATTTCGTCACTATCTCTGACAGCACCAGCTAGACGACGACGAAATACGCATAGGAGCATTCCAGTAACATTGCCGAACCAATGAAGAATTATCCAGCATTCGAATGAACGAAGCTTCACGTAGTTTATGACAGCAATTCACAACCGATAACACATCCTGTTATCGTGTTTGAGGACGTCGCTCTTATCGATAGACGAGCGATTCTGAATCGCTCTAAACTGAACGCAAAATTCCATCGCGTAGAGTAGCGCTTCCTTACCCGGACATTTTCGAGAAACTCAGCCGTCAATGGTCCTACAACCAGCCAATATCACGCACACACACTAACACCGCCTCCGTGCGCCACCACCCACCGCCGCCCGACAGCGACGCGACGATAACACACGGAGTAGGTGAGTGGCGGGGGGACCGGCACACTCGGCCCGCCCGCCGCTCCAGCCGCATGATAACGATGACGGTGCACTAATGTACGGCCGACCGACGCCGGACGCCGGGGCACGAGCGACATCTTCGGGTTGTCGACAGGATGGGAGGGCTGGAGACGGGAGGAGATCAGTGACGGCGACGACTGGCTGGCTGACTGCATAGCCAATCTGCCCCAATAACACTAGTGAATACCATTTAAAAGGCCAAGAGCCGGTGGTTCCAAACTGAGCATGTCCCATATGTTATTGCACAGCACCATGACTCCATGCATGATCAGAATGTGATGCTACGATGTCAAGTAAAAACCTGGCATCATTGTATGCAGCAGAAATACCACTTTCTAATGCTATCAGATGACGTCATGGTCTCATGGATATCAAAAGGGTCATAGATGTTATGTATGTCACCATGTCAGAGCAGAATGAGAGCTCAAATTTGAGCATCAAGCTCCTAGTCAGTCATGCATTATGAGCCTGAGTTCCTGAATTCTGACAGTGGATTGTTTTACTATGAGTAGCACAAGTAGCATACCTCCTCCTTGTTGAACAATTCACCTTAGGCCACTTGTATGTTCTTTCTCTACATTTCTAGAAAAAAAAAATGCAGGGACATGACACGACTGACCTTCCTGGGTGTGACGTTGGACTAGCAGTTAGCACCATAGGAGGCAGAACGGGAAGGGCACCAGGGCACCGTGCCACCCTTTGAGGCATTTTAACATCAGCATTCAGCCCTACCTATAGGCGTTGCATGGAAAGAATGGGACCAAGTCAGCAGTGCCCCCCTTAATTGAAGGTGTTCCGCCACTACTGAATAGCACATCAATTACCAGGACCTACCATGAAGCATCATTCACCATTATGGTCTGTGGGAATTGTGACAAAGAACCTATATAGAGACACAAATCATGGAATGGTATTACCTACAAATTTAAAGGGACCCTCCCACCTTCAAAAAAGTTAATGAATTGGCATGAAAGTGATGTCCCTTGGTTCAGAAAGAGCGAAAACGAATATCTACCAAATTTCACCGAAAAATATTCACTGGTTTTCAAGATATTAGGCTTTTACTTTTGTTTACTTTTTGGGATCTTTCCTGTTACTAGCGACTTTATTTGGAAGCAATAATTTGGCAGCCTTAAAGTGCGGCAGACGTTGCGCGCAAAGCAGCGTATACCACCACGTGTTAACGATGGTTTTAGTCTTAGATTTAAAAATCGTTAGATCTCCGCTGACGTCACAAATTCTAAGGGGGCATTCCAATGCATTAGCCCCTTAGAATCCGAAAACTGCAAGTTTGAAATTCCATATCTTCGAATTAAAGCATTTTTCGATGTTGTGAGTGCCCAAACCGGTATTTGCAGGCCATGGCCATCAATTTGGCTATCTCAACTCAAAACTAATGTTAAGGTGGGAGTGTCCCTTTAAATAAAAAACTTGCGAGTTAAATGAAAGAAAATTTTAGCAGCTTTGATCAAAACTTTAAAGACATGTTGTAGGCTAGGTCATGTTGTAGTTGACTTTGCTTCTGGTGGGAAGACTGAAGAGCCCTAAATTTGAAGTTCAAGTTATTATTATTCGCTTCAAGATCATCTCAAAGTTAAAGACGGAAATGACACAGCGGCAAAAATGAAAACCCTCGAAAAGAAACTGTTGAAATGAACATGCATTTCAGAAAAAAAACATAAAGGCTCACCTTTATCGTTATTCTATTTCAATTTGCAAATTCTCCACCTACCACCTAAATTTGAAATGCTTGAGCTGAACGGATATCATGAGAAAGCAAGTCAAAGTGAGAAAGAAAGAGCCTGAGCAACGCACATCAGTCTGGGGCATATATTAAGGTGTTCAGCGACTATGACAGCAGGTGACTGTCCACGTATGCAGCAAATCAAGTGCAGCGTTTCTAAGCGTTTCTGTCAAATATCTTCAGCATCGTCCAAATTGAATAATATTTTTCGGAGCAGCTGCGGTACATCCGTCGAGGTAATGAGCTTCCAAGTTTGCTTCCATATTTCCCTATAACTCCCAAATAAAAACATTTTGACCACATCCCCCCCCCTCAGTAACCTTGCCTCCACTGACGGATTTAAAAAAAAAAATTAGTATCGTTGCGTAGCGTAATAATCCTAGTTAAAATGGGGGGAGGGGGTAATCACTCACGCATGGGCTTATAATGTCCTCAGTGGTCAAATTAACGTTTAATTCAGCTGTTATTGCCACAAATTGCGAGCAAGCCCTATTTTTAGGCCACCGCTGTCCCGAGGTCAACGCTTACTGGTCGACCAACAGATAAACTCGTCGTTTGAGGTCAATACTTTCGGACAATTTAAAGGACACAATGTATTTACAAGTTACAACTCACACCGATTGTGGTTCAACAATAACAAACCTCCCCTACCGTGCACCCTGACCCCGTAAGGCCGTAACTGCGTCTTAGTACGGTATATAATATTGTGAGCTTGAATATGAGCCAATGGCCTGCTCAATACGCCGTAACATATCACCGACAATCTGCATTTGAACGCTGCAAGCCCGGTGGGTAGCCCGCCGGTCTCGGCAACCGACACCTCGTACGGTACCTGTGGTGCGGAACAACGCATCGCCCGTCCAAACCCACCGTAAGCGTAACTCACGCTGAATAGTTCGCACACGAATTGCGATGCATCGGTGTCTTCATATTTTATCCATTCGCGTATCACAATGCACCACAGCAACCGATGCTATTGCGAAGTAAAATGCATAAAACCGTGCGAGTCTAATCGGAGACACAACCGACATATGCAATTGTGAAGGAAGGCAACACAACTATCTGCCAGATTTGGTGATACGCAGATACGCCAAAATATGGTGCAAGACAGCACCATAGCATTCCAAGTTCGAGCATATCGCTGAGAAGCAGCGGTTTGTAAGGACTATGGGGTCCCAAAACTGTAGTGCCCCTGTGAGCAGCCATTAACACAGACACAAACACAAAGCACGCATTAAATACTTAAGTATCTCTCCCACTTTTCCCTAGTGCATACACAACTGCTCCAAACCCATTCGAAGCCATAAACTACCTTGGAAGTTGGAAACCCGAGCTAAGACGGTCGCGGTATCACTGGACGAGCCGCGCAGAGGCAGTATCACGAGTATCATCGCACGAGGAGCAGCAGCGCTGCTGAGCGTGATACCACCGGCAGAGCTGCCGTGATACCACCGGCAGAGCTCCCCAGGACAGAGTGCGACATCAACAACAACCGTGACTTTGGATAATGCCCTGACACAGCGGCCATAACATACACAAACACAACAAATGCCCGGCTTTGACGCCCTGAGTGTTCCTCTAGCGTTCCATTCAGGGCAGTGCACCCTAACTTCTCCCGGTTATAGCCTCTTGGTGGCCTACAGCCTGGCAAATACTCTCGTCACGGGTAGAACAGTGTTACGTCTTCGGACGGACGTCAGTCGTAAAAGACGTGAAGCACATTACTGAGCTGACGTCACGGGTGTTGACGTCACACGTCATAGAACAGACTGGCCAGCGGGTAGCGTATCACGAACGCCAAACAGCTGCACATCACCTGCGGGCAAAACAAACAGACTTATGCAGGATATTGATTTATGATACATGCTCGATAGCCGTGTACAGAACAGCGTTATGATAGAGGACTGCCGATATGCCGTAGGTAGCATCCTGTTGAACATGGAAGCTGCTTTATAACATCATTAAAAATGAACAGCACACATTCCATGAACGACCCTGATTGCGTCAAGTTGGCAATGTTACAGTCAGAACCTCACGTTCTCCAACAACCTGTCTCATCCCATTCACATCAACTGAAAGCCTTCACCATTCTAATGACACACAGCGGCTCGACCTGACGGCAATCTCTCCCCGGCACGCACCTGTATTGCCAGCAGCGCCTGTGTGACGCGCCGCTCGTGCAGCGGCCCGGCCAGCTTCAGCAGCAGGTTGATGATGGTCAGGTTGTTGCAGGTGGTCATGCCGCCGCTCTCCGTCAGGTGGACCACGCCCACGGCGTGGCCCAGCCGCAGGGCCAGCCGGCCCGGCCAGCGCAGCGAGGACATCCGGAACGTGGAGGTGGACATGTGCAGACGGTCCGTCTTGCGGTCGTACCTGGGGGAGGGGAGGGCGAGAGGTGTCACTTGTCAGGGGAGTGGGAAAAATGACGCTGTAAACCCGATGTAACTAGAGAGTGATCGCAATGAAATTTTCACACCTTGATGACGTTTTGTGAGCTGGATATAAGACAAACTAATTAATATGAGACAGCTTCTCCAGGGCTGCCTATATTATCACATAGCAGACTGTGACACACTTCGGGGAGAAGTTCTTTGCAACACTGCAACCGTGCACGAAGTGGAATGAACGAGCACCCGCCTTCACTAACCTGGGCAGCCGGTGACGCGGACACGGCACGAAGTGGAACAGCTGCGGCACAGAGTACACAAAGTTGGCGATCTGCGGCAGGAAGAACAACAGCATCGTCTTGCTGAAGTGGCCCAGGATGCCTATGACGGCGAACGTCATGCCGGCGAAGTAGCAGTAGGTGTCGCCGACGAACGCAGCCGACGGGTACCTGCCGGGGAGAAACGAAACCGACGTCTTCTCTGGGCATTCACACCATCTGACTGAGCGGCAGCAATATCCGATGACACAAATGTATGGCATAGTAAAGCAGTAAAGCAAATTGAAACTTTTCAACGATGATAACATTGAATGCACCTTCACCACCAGTATATATGTGGTAGAGTAGTCCTATCTCCCTCACCAGTTGTGATAGAGCAGCGCCAGGCTGACACCAATAAACGGCAGCAGCAGGTACAGTGAGAACAGGTGCGTGTCGCGCAGCGGTCCGCCCAGCTCGGCCACGTTGTGTGCCAGCAGCGAGGCGGCTATCACCACCGACTGGCCCACCTCCAGACCGTTCACCCCGGCCAGGATGTTGATGGCGTTCGTACAGAACACGGCCAGCATGCCCATGTACACGTAGTACAGCGGACCTGACGGCGGGACCAGAGACAGGACGTCACTCACGGCAAACGGCGAAATGGTGGACGTGTGGTCCGGGGACAAACAGTTACCGATAGTTTGGGTAGTGTTGCGACAAAAACTGAGAATGACAACTTGCAATTATGTGGCAGTAAAGACCGATTGTCTATATTTGTACGAAATAATCAACAATTGGTGTTGGAACACTGTATGTACTGTGAGAAACGGCGGAGGACTGCATGTTAGGAGTAGTAGTCGGGAACAGCGCCCTCTAGTCTGGCTTACAGTCCATTGCCACCAGACATCGCCCCTGAACTGTAAAGCCCCGGAACTCCTCCATAGTCCTGCAGCAGTAGTCGGTGATCGGTTTCAGCTTTCGGGAAACTAGGCAGCAGCAGCAGAAGCAATAGCGAATGTAGTGGTCGACGACCAGTGCATGAGACGACCAGTAGCTAAGTCTCAACATCCCATTCCCGCCTCGCCTTCTTCCATTTAACATGACACTGACACCCCTCCAGTGTCATTCACACCGTAACCCCATCCCGTCTCACCCAGATTCAGGCTGTATCCGACCAGGAAGCGCAGCGGCTTGGGCACGATGATGGTGGTGCCGTTGTAGGTGACGAAGTACACCATCAGCAGCGGCAGTGAGGCCACAGTGGGCAGCAGCAGCTTGTGGCGCCACTTGAGCTCCAGCACGTCATCGGCGAAGCCGAGCAGCAGCATACAGCAGATGGAGAGCAGCGCCGCCAGCAGCTCCACGAACTGTGCGCGTGAGGGGCGAGCAACACAAAAATGACGGTAAATGGGATTATAAAAGTGAAGAAATGTCCTAAAACGTTGTCATTCTCAACTTCATGGTGAGTCTACAAATGCCAAGAATGATGGGCATAAGAATGTATAATTCTAGTGCTGTGTTCTGTAGCATTCTGATATCTGGGTATGTCTATAAAATGCAGGTGAAGAGGACGGATAATCTCACGGCACTCAAAAGCTAATATTAATGAGCATGACTAATATTGGCTGTAGAAAGTATGTTTGAAACACAAATAAGCTTCTAAGAGATAAACCTGAGGTGCAATTTATAATAACAAATTATCACATAACTCAGGAAAATATGCTAAGATAATGACATGTAAGAAGGTAGGCACTAAAAACAGTTGACTGAAGAGATGGACACATGAAATTGCTGAGATTTCAATTAGCATTCAGAGTGTCCACAGGTCAATGGTCATTGCACTGGCCTCTAACAGACAAGGACAATTTACAGGCATGGACCATGCACAATGATTACATGCAGAACACAATACATCCTAATAATTATTAAAAAATCACAAAACACTTTCACACATTCTCTGATCGAAATGGTTAACTTAAACCCACTATGGATAAGAAGAGGTAAATGGTAAACATACTGCATTGAAGAAAGAACAAGAAATACAGAAATAACATTGTCAACTCTGAGTGTAGCAATATGGAATGTCATGTGCATTAAAAGTTGTGATTCATGCATAGCGGCAACAGAAAATCAGGCAGATGAGCTGGTTACACCCTTACACAATTAGTACAGCTGAAGTTATAAATTCTACTGCTCAGCTACATCCCATTCAGCTGTTATGTTATTTCACTCCCTGAATCATGATGCTGGCTCAAGTTCTGAAACAGCTGAAGCAGATAAACATCAACACAAATAAACATCACATAATCTCAGGCAACACCCAGTTATCATGCAAAAGGTATGCACAGAACTTACTGCACCAGAACTAGCAGCAAGAACATAGGGGCTACAACCACCACCGCTAGCAGAAGTATTATTCTCCTGCAGGACAGAGCAGGTTAGCAGGTTAGCTGACATGGAAGTGATTAATGCATGTGCAAAAATTATATGAACATTTGAGTTGTGCCATAATATGAACTCACTACTAGCAATTACTGAACAGAAAATGTATATTAGAGAAAGACCAATCAAATGAAATTCAATAGTAGGTAAAACTGATAACTGAACAGTGAACACCACGATATCTATTGGTTAAATAAGATAGATAACTATCTAAATGACACATAATGTATTCATACCTTTTCATGGGGAAACCCCTCTTGATTGAAGACAATATATGTTCCAAATGGGACTGGGATGAATATGAAGACAACAATCAGGTAGATGCAGCCACAAACAATTCCCATTGCTTCAGGACTGCAAAGAGACACATCAGTGTTCTAAAATTGGATAATGGTTGGGTGTGCCGATGAAGAAAAAATCCTAGGATGAGAAAAAAGAAAGTAAATAGCTGAAGTATTTTTGCAAAATGGTGCAATGCCAATTTTTATGCCAACTGATAAACCAGGATTTCATGTCAGGATCTTGACAGGGTGTGGAGCAAAAGGATGTGGGTGCATCAACTGTCAAGTGACATGTGAACTGACTGTTGGGAATACATGAAACGCTTTTCAGAGATAAAGTGAAGTCGGTCATTCATATTTTAGAAATGAAAGTATTTTCCCCATTAGGTGTGATTTGCCACCAAAAAGTCTGAAAAATGGAACACTGAGACACATTTTTATCAACAAATAGCATATAACAAGCAGCAATGACCAATGATCATCAGAATTTGTAGGAACAGTCTGAGCAGCTAATATCATGTCTTGTTAACTCCCTGAGGTGTATGCTACTGAATGAATGATTATTGTTTAAGTGCATCAAAACAATGCATCATTTATCTATTGATGATGGGGAGAAGGATGGTTGGGTGGGACTTCTTAAAATAAGTTCAATAATTCCTGTAGCAAAAAGCATAAAAAATGTAGACACAGCAATTTTTCATCAGCATAGCACAATGCACATTCAATAATAATGTAAGCGAACCTTATTCACACAAGAATTGGTTAGGTACCTACTAAATAACATCCTCAAATAATTAACTGCCTAAAATACATTTCAGTTTCAAGCAAACTGAATCAAAATGCAGATTTAGAAATGCTTAACACACCAGTCCACAATACAACACTTACATTTTCTTAGACTCCTTCTTGCTCATGTCTATCCCACAGAGATTTGCTTTGATAAAAAGATGACCCATCTTCGGCACAGCTCGAATGGTCGCAATGAATCCACAAAACGAAAGCATCAAGTTTATCAGAAGTTGAATCGTCCAATCCATCTTGAGTTTATGCTGGAGCAGTCTGAAACAATCATAAAAAGATGTTTCAGGTAAGTAGGTAATTCAAAAGAAACACCAACCTCAACCTAAGCGTTCTGTGACAAGTTCAGCAGCATTGAGTTCAAGTCAAAGTTTGCTTTCAAAGGTCTTCAAGGTCAAGGATTCAGACAAAAGGAAAAGTATCATTTAATTGCAAAGGATAAATTTATGATGGTTCAAAAATAAAATCAAAATGTTTCACCATCAATTCGCCAACACGAAAAAAATTTGAATTGGAATTGAAATGACTAGACTTGAACTGGGACCAGTTTGAGTTACACTACATGGTTTAAATTTTTGGGTTTACAACAGTCTCCTGGGAATTAAATGGAGCGGTTTCAAATAAGACTATCCGAAATTAAGTTTCTACAACTTCTTACAACTTCAGCGACAAATCATAGGTAATTAATAAAAACTTACATATAAATTCGCACACGCACGACGTGAATATTCGAAATCGTAAAAGCTGCGCAGTGTTTGCATTCATATAATGCTACCAAATATGGTACCAAATTCTATAGATAATAAAGCTTTTATGTATACGTGCATCAAAAGTTGCATTTTTATTTATTGTGATACTAGTAACAATAGGACTTACTCGGTGTGCCACATAAGTGAGAAGTGACCTTAATTTTCGTCTGGTCGTTTTCTAAATGCTCTTTACTCTCTATGTTTTCTCTCCTAAAAGACCATCAGGAATGACCCTGTCCCGCAGCTATGAGTTGGTAGAGTTTAACTTCCGGTTGTAAGAGCCCGGGTTCGAGTCTCGAGACGCTCCGGCGCTCGGTATTTGAAACTCCTGACGCAGGGCCTCGGCTAAGGAATTTTGACTGGTGAGCCACTTGGGCAGCGACATGGACTGACCTTCGTAGCCATAGCACCATTTTCGATTTCTCGCCAGATTTTGGCCATTTTATTCTGCCAAAAACGTCAGGATGGCATTAAAAATGTTAAAAAACGGGGCTCGACCCCCCCCCCGACTCTTCAGAGATAGAAGAGAGAGTAGGGACCCACAACCCTCTCAGTGGTGATACTCCGGCGGTGCACATAAAATCGCACAAGTATGCACACAATATTGACGCAGATTATAAAACTTTGGACGATAACTTACGGCCGGTCGGAAGTTAAAAATCAGCGAGCCCTGAATGCATCGCTCGCCGACTAGTCGGAGATTCGGAAATCGGAAGCGGTCGGACGGGATCGGGCGTAAGGCGTTGTCGGGTGGATCGGGAGGAATTGTGAACAGCACTTTATATATAAAGTGGGTTGTAGCAGGAACCCCAAAAGGGGGTTGTAGCAGCAACTCCAACATCTCTGAAAATGATCATTAAGCCTATTGGTGTCACATGGAAAAGAATTCACTCAAATGCCCAAGCGCACTGCGCAACCCTAATATTTTCTTTAAAAAAAAACTAAGTTATGTACGCTTCTGTTGAACAGTGTCCCAATCTTCAGATTTCTCTTGGGTGTCTGAGTGGAAAATTCTAGCCACCCAAAATGTGAGAGTGGAAAATTATCCATTCTTATTCTTGAGTGTCATCTTCAGCCCAAATGAGAAATTTTTGGAACGCTGACTGTGAACGGTTCGAAATTCGTCCAACTGGTCAGAACTCAGATGTGCGACTGCAAGCATCATAACGTTCGTGAAGACGTAATATCGCTTGCAGACTTCAATCGGCTGGAAGTTGCCGACACTACCTCTAGTTTGACTCTGGCTTATATCGTGTCTATCGGCGAGCGGTCTGAGATCGCTCGCAGGCTTATCCCCGACCGTCTGAACTGGTCTGTTCTTTATTCGTAGTTTTTCTTGTAACCGACTGGTCTGCGGCAGATGCTTAAGTGACTGTAACCACTCGATCGATCGGAAAGCTTGCAAGAACTCTCGCAGACCTCGATCGGCTGGAAGCCGCCGACACTATCTGTAATTGACATAGGCAAACGTCTTTCACGATTATTGCATAAAATTTAAATCCTCGGTGACACTTAAACGGATTGGACCAACGGACGAGAAACGGACGAGAACTGTCAGCGTCCGGTGATGTCCGTTTGTTTCCGTTGGACGTCCGTTTGTCATCCGTTAATATCCGTTCCATGTCCGGTGGTGTCCGGCTGAGCACACCGGACACCACCGGACATGGAACAGATATTAACGGATGAGAAACGGACGTCCAACGGAAACGAACGGACATCCCCCGGACATCACCGGACGCCGTCCGTTTCTCGTCCATTGGTCCAATCCGGTGAAGTGTGACCGAGGGTTAACTTACGGCTGTCTCAAGAAACCGGGAATGGTGATGGTATTAGGCGGGCAACGACGATCAAGTTCTTACTTTTAATAAATGCAACAATGTAGTAGGGCCTCTGTCTCTGTCTGTATCACAATGTTACCTACGTCGTGATGTAAAATGTGAAAACTTCGATTTTTCGGAAAATTACTGGTGGGCCAAATCTTTGAGGCTGGTGGGCCATTTCTGGTCACTGGTGGGCCATTTGGCCCACCAGTTAACATGTTAGCCGAGGCCCTGTCCTGACGGGGATGGTCTGCGGTTGGTGGGAGCAGCCGCAGCCAGTTGAAGTCAGTTGAGTGGGGCAGGCCGTGTCCGGCTTTGAAGGGCACGTTAAACTTTGGCATCTATATTCTCCCGATACCCGGAATTGTGCGATCGCACGGGGGGTCGGGGTTCTACGCAACAGCCAACAAGCCTCTGCTTAGCGTGGGCTCCGGCTCTGTCAATCCGTCCATTCAAACATTCGAGCTAAATTTATTAAAAAAAACTGTGACCTCATGGAGGGGTGAAGGTCAAGTCTAACTTGACCGTCACCCCTCCATGAAGGGTCAAATGTCGGGGCACCGCATAAGTGGCCTTTATTTTCTTCTGAACGTTCTCTAAGTGGTCCCTTTGTGTTCTTCGCCTAAAGCAACATCGGGGATTACTCTCACCTGTGACCTGTCACCTTTCACTCGACCTTGACCTCCTAATCGGAGTTCAAGGGTCGGGTAGGTACGACGACAGGCCCACACATGGCGTAGGAGAGTTTCAGCAGAGTGGCGGGTCGCAGCGTCACACCCGTCGTCGGACAGTTGGTGGTCTCGCCCGCCTCTCGGTCAAACGGCTCAAAATTACCAACTTCTCTCTCTCTCTCTCTCTCTCTCTCTCTCTCTCTCTCTCTCTCTCTCTCTCTCTCTCTCTCTCTCTCTCTCTCTCTCTCTCTCTCTCTCTCTCTCTCTCTCTCTCCCTCTCTCTCTCTCTCCCTCTCTCTCTCCCTCTCTCTCTCTCTTCTTCAGTGGCCCGAGCCGTTTGTTTATGTGTTTTGTAAGCTTGCAATTGAATAGTGAGTTCAAGTAGGTAACGAGTGTTAATGAGTCAGGAGTTTTTCCGCTCGTACGTTCACTCACCGCACGTGAGCCGACTTCCGAGGAGTTGCCCACGACCAATGATGAATGATGACCGTTCAGCCCGCGCAACAAAAGGTTTGGGTATCGAAGAGAAGGATAGGAGCGTCCTGAAGACATACCTACATATAATAGGATAGATCGGAGGTGAGTCGGCCGGGCGGCAGCTCGGGTGATCTGCACTCTCCAGGGCACTATAGGTTGTTGCCAGTAGCGGCGGGACACCTTCAATTAAGGGGGGGAGACACTGACGACTTTTGGTCCCATTCTTTCCATGCAGCGCCCATAGGGCTAATGTTAAAATGCCAAAATCAAGGGGGCACGGTGCCCCGGTGCCCCCTACCCCACCCCGTTCCGCCGCCTATGGTTGTTTGCGGTGGGACTGGGAGCGATCAGCGAGCCGCAGTCCATCGTGAGCGCCTGCAACTTTGCAGAGTGTGCAATGCTGCAGGTGCGTGGCGCCTGCGCAGAGGCGTTAGCACCAGTGAGCCTTTGCATTGTGACCGAGCGAACCAGCGTTTTGCTTTTGAACTCTACAACAATATAGCTACTTCCGGTACAGCGGTCAGCGAGGACCACAAAATATTCCAGCTAAATAATGCGTGCAGTTATCACAGCGCAATGAAATCCGATCCCTTCAAGCTTCAGTTTTCCGAGCTCGTACCCAGCTCCGCCAATAAGCTTCATTTGCCTGTTTGTTGTGTTGGGGTTAACTACCAGGCTCAATTAGTCCCCCTGTAACGGACGATTTTTTTATATGTCCTGTGCATCTGCTTTGTTTGTTTTTCCGCCGCCTGGCCGGTCCGTCGGCGGGCGGCGGAAATGACGCCTGCCGCTCCTCACGGCGGGCACCCGATGGGTCAGGTAAAACCGACCGGCCAGGGTGCGACGTCTTCTCATAAACAGTGACGGGCCTTTCCGAGCGAGCAGCGGGCGCCGAGGACTGACGGGGAGGGCGGGGAGGGGCCACAGGACCGCCCCGGCGCGGCGCTGGAGCGGCAGGACCGCGGATGGCCGCCCGGCCAGTCTGAGAGCGCGGCCGAGCGGGGCTGGACGGTGGTGACGATGGTGCGACGGGTGGTGACGATGGTGCGACGGGTGGTGCCGGTGGTGGTGCTGGTGGCAGCGCTCCTGTGCGGCGAGTCTGGAGCAGACGAGCCGTCTCTGCGTCCCCGGGAGGTGGTGGCCCTGCAGCAGACTCAGTTCGGCCTCCAGATGTACTCGGTGAGGCGCGAACCGCTCACAACGTGGTTATAAACCATTCACACTACTTAGTCAGCCGGTTTTATAGATACAAAATGGGATAATACCCTTTTGATGAGTTTTGTCAGTCAACAATGTTACCAATAGGCATTACGTATGCAGTGGTGTGGTTGTAAGCAAAATTGTTTAGCGTAGGTTTTCTAAGCTGCTCAATACCTAGGCTAGTTATAACGCAGGTGGCAATGGATATGTACTCCGAAGGTTTCGGAGTATCCATTGCCATTTGCCACCAGTTTCGGACCGAAACTTACTGACATCGCACTTACTTGAAACTGTATTACCAGCATTGACTGGCAATGTCACAGTCACAAATAATGAGGCGGTCACACATGATGAGGCGGTGGTACTTGCTGTTCTAAAAAGTCGAGTCGAATCATCCGGTAAGAAATTATTTTACGCGACTGCAGAACGACGAAAGACACTAGAAAAGTGAGACACTATAGGCAGGCATTTGTACTTACGTAACTGCACTTCCGTTTCGATGCTTGTTTCTCGATCTTCGTGTTATATTTTGAATGTTTTTTCTTATTTTTTTACGTCCTTACTATTGTTATTGACTGTATATTGTCATGGGCATTCAACAACTGTTCATTTTGCATTTTAAATGGTTCATCGTTACGACCTCTCCATACCGGATATCCATAAACAGTATTTTGCTGAGCATTATAACGCATTCCCTTCCCTGATTAGTGACTAGATCACCTACGCATGTTTGAAAGGTGCGCTCTTCCGACATACATCTCCGAAAGTTCCGCGGTGACGCACCATTTGCCGGCTGTACCGATTTTCCTGGGTCGGAACACTTTGTCGATGATTCTGTGATTCCCGAGCTGTCCTTTAGGCCCTCGCGGGCGCTCTGTAAACAATCGCTTC